TCATCCGGCTGGAAGTATTCGCGTAGCCGTTGGATATCCCACTCCTTGGTATCATTCCTAATAAGGGCTTGAACCGGGAGGCTGGGGAGTCTATAGACAATATGGTCGGCAGGCTTTGGTGGTCGAGCCACAGAGTCGGGGATCCAGTTTTCACACCAAACCCTCGTGTCTCGGCCCGAACCAATCCTCTTGCGAAGTCCTGAGAGAAGTAAGGGTTTTGCTGCCATAATACTACGCCATCCATATGAAGGTGAGTATGAGCGTCTGTCCTCTAGAGGAAAGGAGTTGTAATAGTATCTCCCTTTTAGAACACGTGCCAGTAAAGAGTTTGGGTAGTGTATCAGCCGCCATAATTGTTTCGCAAGAAGTGCTATGTTGAAATCATGGAGATCACGAAATCCTAGCCCCCCTAAATCCTTAGGGAGACAGATTTCGTCCCATGATATCCAATGCAAACCTCTGCTGTTCTGTTTCGAGCTCCACCAGAAATTCGAATTCGTACTTCGTAATTTATCCGTGATGCCTTGAGGAATCAAATAACATGACATTGGGTATGTCGGGATTGCTTGGGCCACTGCTTTAATCTGAACCTCTTTTCCCCCTTTGGACAGTAACCTCGAGGACCAATTATTCACTCGTCCATTTAACCGGTCTTGAACGTAGGAGAAGACTTTGGATTTTGAACCGCTGATCAGTTCCGGTAAACCCAGATACATACCCATACCACCTTCCGCCGAAAACCCCAGGGTCTCTTTTATCTCTTGTTTCCGCGCATATTCTACACGGTTTCCAAAGAACATTGATGATTTCGCCGCATTTAGTCTCTGTCCCGATGCTTTTTCATAGGTATCTACAATGTCTATGATCTCCTTGCATTGGCTAGCTTCAGCCTTACAGAAGAAAAGACTATCATCCGCAAATAATAGGTGAGAGATCCTTGGGCTCGCCTGTGCCACCCGAAGGCCTACTATCTTCTTCTCCGCTTCCGCTCCATTCAACAGCGAGACCAGAGCTTCTGTACATAGGATAAACAAGAAGGGAGACAGGGGGTCTCCTTGTCTCAGGCCCCTCTTTGGTAGGATACGGCCCCGCGGTTGACCATTGACTAGAACTTGATATGAGACCGACGTGACACAACACATAATGAGGTCAACCAGTCTTTCATCAAAGCCCATCTTTACCATCAGGGTAGCTAGAAAACTCCACTCTACTCTGTCGTAAGCTTTACTCATATCCGTCTTGATGGCCATAAAGTCTTCCCGACACCTATGGTTGGTCCTTAAGGCGTGGAAGTTCTCTTGTGCTATCAAAATGTTATCAGTGATCAAGCGTTTTTCCACAAAGGCTGATTGTGTATCCGAGATCAGTTGCGGAATTATCCTCTTAAATCTCTTACATATTAGCTTAGATATAATCTTATAGCTAACATTACAGAGACTGATCGGTCGAAATTCTGACATCTCCCGAGGCTTCTTCTTCTTCGGAATGAGGCATATATTCGTCTGGTTCAAAAGTGGATCAAAACTGCCCGTTTCAAAAAAATCTTGTACAAGCCTAATGATATCTCTCCGCATCTCACTCCAAAACTTCTGGAATAGCTTGCTAGTCATGCCATCCGGTCCCGGGGCCTTGTCCAGATTGATGTCGAAAAGGGCTCTCCGAATCTCTTGTTCCGACGGTACCTCCAAGAGTAACCTATTGTCGGCATGAGATACTTTTGCTGTGATAAATCGAAGGGAGGTGTCGACCTCTGTCGGGGAGGATGTGGAGAAAAGATCCCGAAAGTATTGAATAGCCACATTCTCTACCTCGATTTCACTCTCTACCATCCTCCCATGCTTGTCCTTGATACTTATAATCCTGTTTTGTGATCTTCGTTGTTTGGTGGTGGCATGATGAAATTTAGTATTTCTATCCCCATGCTTGTGCCATTGGTCCCTGCTTTTTTGTTCCCAGAAAGTATTTTCTTCCTTGAAAGCCAAAATCAACTGCCTCCTTAAATCTTCCAGTTCTTCTGTCGTGGTATTGTCATCGTCTTGGGCGATGTCAATCTGATTTTTTAATTCTTTAATCAACACAGCAGTGTTAGTTGGATTATCTTTCTTCCAGGTACTAATCTTATTCCGACATGAGTTAATTTTTTGCTGAAAATTCCGAACTGGAATCTCATCAGAAACTCCCCATCCCGAAATAACTGCTTCCTTGAAGCCCGGTTTCCCGATCCACCTCTTGTCAAATCTGAAGTTCTTCCTTGTTTTCCGGGTAATGGATTGGATCCGTGTAAGAACTGGTCGATGGTCCGACCCCCATAGTTGCAGATATTCGACGATACTCTGGTTAAAAAGGGCGTGCCAATCCTCATTTGCCACAACTCTGTCTAATTTGCATTTAACTTTCCCATTTTTTCTTTTTCCCACCCACGAGAATGAGTTTCCTTTGTATGGGAAGTCGAGCATACCACAGTTTTCTAACATGATTCAGAGTATTGTTCACTTATGCAAAACTGTAGTGTTATTATTTTCATGTTATTAAAATCCGTTCTTAAGTTGTAAACTGATATACGTATGACGTCTCCATATCTTCTATATGTGGATCTCAATCCACAGATTATAACTACTTGGTTTAGCCAATTTACAAAAACTTGGGTCTTCAACAGTTTAAGTAGATATCTCATTTATAAAAATGATTTTAGAGCATATCTACTTACCCTAACCCAAGTACTTATCGATGTGTTGTTGGACACTAGGGTTGGCATTTATATTCGCTATCCGCTATCCGACTCGGGATCCACTCCGAAAAAATGGATATCCCGGGGGTCTGGATCCGAATCCGGATAGTGATTTCATGGATCCGAATCTGAATAGTGAAATTTTCAGTCCGGATATCCGGATTCGGATACGGGCCCACTAAATATTTAAAATATAATTATATTTATATAGGTATATTAAATATATTTTTATTAAATATAATTAATGCTTAATTTTGTTAGTAAATTCTATTATTTTAATTTTACTTTTTCAAAATAATATTTTTAATATAATAAATAAATACTAAATTTTGAATTTTGAATTTTTTTTTTAATTTTTGTAAAAAATAAACCGAATCCGGATATCCGCGGGTACCGAGTTTAAGTCCAGATATCCGGACCCCGGATATCCGGATGGCCCGGATCCGAATCCGGATAGTAATTTTACGGATCAGTCGAATTTGGATCCGGATATCTTAAAATACTCGGATATCCGATCCGTCCCACCCCTATTAGACACATTCACAAATTGTTTAGATATGGTTCTTAATCAATTAAAAACAAATTAGAAATGTACTCTCCGAATGATTTATTAACATTTGTAGATAAGATGTTTCATTAAATACCCCAATAAAGGCCCATGGAAGAGAAGCAAGATATTTCATCAGTCCAAATGTACTTCAAGGAACCCACTTAATCAGCCCTATAGAAACATAACTATTAGGAGTTTAGGACTATGCATCATAAATAGTTGGGTCTTAAAAATTGGCTGCAACTTCAACTATGCTAATCCTTTATCCAAGAACTCGACATAAAGAACATCCATATATACTAAGAACATCCTTCATCCATATTTTCATTCGCTTTTTCCCTTTACATATTTTCATTCGCTTTAGTCATTTAGTTTTTCTCAAGAGACTCTAATATTCAAAATCTATAAAAACAAAAAAACAGTTAACGATACTTCTGTTGGTAATCATATCGAAATATAGAACCAAAATATGATTAACTGAATCAGAACCTGAATTAGAAAAACAGATTGTTTGAGGGGCTGGCTAACCTCATCCTTATTAAGAGACCTCTTAAAGCATAGTTGTTTTGATACTTTACTCACCCAGACCCAGGTATCTTTTTTATTATCAGTATCATGTATTGGTATAAGGTCACCCGCAACGGTGATTTTTCGTCGGTCCTTGTTGTTAATCCTTAGGATTAATTGATTTTTTTAATATTATTTTGGCAAATAACTCGACGGATCAGTCCGTAAATAAGAGGTAGAAGGACTTGATCCTTACTGCACGTGTCGAAAGCTAATTGGGTCGGGGTCTTTTGTGCTTGTGTATAGCGAGAAAAAAAATCATTCCCGACCAAACATAGAAAAAAAAATCAGAGTGAAGAGGAAAAGGCGATTTCGGGTTATCTTTCTAGTTTGTGTTCTCCGTGATCTTCAAAGGGAGATCATATTCTTTTGTGGTAGATTTGAGGCACAGATTAGGTCCCTTGTTGTTATCGCCTCCATGCAACCTTCGTATTTCGATTTGAATCGATTTGGGGCTTTGTTCGAATTAGGGTTTGGGAAAGATTCGGGTTTTCAATTACTTTCTCTCTGTGGTTCTTCGAATTATGGTTTAGGCAAGATTTGGGGCTTTTCTCCGAATTAGGGTTTAGGCAAGATTTGGGGCTTTCTTCGAATTAGGGTTTCAATTTGGGGCTTTCTTCGAATTAGGTTCCTTGTGGCTGTTCTTGTTTGTTATTAAGGTTTCTTCTTGTTTGTTTACGGTCTCTGTTATAGTCCCAATGTTTAGTAATGATGTTTAGTCTTCTAGCTCTTCTTGATGTTTAGTCTCTCATGCTTAGTCTTTTTGAAGTTTTTCTGCTTGCTGTGTGTTTTGTTTTGGTTAGATTATTTAGGTTCCTTGTTGCTCTGTCTTCAATTGCTTAGATTAAGTTCCATCTTGTTCTCTGTTAAGTCATGATGTTACAATTGCTGTGTGTTTACAATTGCTCTGTGTGTTTTATTTTATGTGTTTAGTATTTCTTCTTGCTCTATTTCAATACGTTTTTGTTCTCAATAGACTCCAACGTTGCTTTCTTTTCTTTTAGTTGGGTTTACATGGGTTTACTTTATAAAAAACGTTTTTCTTCTTGATCTGTGTTCTTTCTCTTTTGTTGCTCTGTGTTTTTAGTCTTAGTGTTTAGTGTTTGTTCTTGCTTACATTTATTAAACTTGTTTTTTTTTGCAGGGCAAAGAACCATGGGTCAAGACTATTCTTACAGTCAGCCTTCTTCATCAGAGGACTACGACTATATATTTGAGGCAGAAGCTGCTCTGTACGCCGATGAAGCCGACAGTCGGGACGCTATTGCCGAGGCCTCCGAGTACCCACCGCAATCTGAGGATGATGAAGGAATCCCTATGACTTGCTATTGCGGTGGCGAGCCTGTTGTTCACACGTCGTACACTCGTAAGGATCCAGGTAGGAGGTATTTCACCTGCTTGAACGTTGACGATGGTGACTGCCACATCTGGAAATGGTGGGATGTGGCAGTCATGGAAGAGATGCGTGAGATGCAGAGACAACTTCGGATGCTCAAAGATCAATTCTTTGAGAGTGACCAGAAGGTGGCCAAGCTAGAGAAGAACTTTGGTGTGTTAACTAAGAAGAAATCTGAGGTTAAAAATGGGCTTGCCAAGGGAGTTTGTGTACTGGTATTGGTATTGGCGTTCATAATAATGGGCTGGTAAGTTTAAATCATTGTTTTGATAATTTAGAGATTACAAAATGGGTTTAAAATATGGGAGTTAAACTGTTTTATCTTATGTGTTTCAAGAAAGATCTTCGGAGGAATTAAATCACAGTGGCTGAACTCGACAAAGGCTTGACAGGTACGATTATTTAACTCTTTTATGATATGCATTAATACAAACAAATAGTACTTGTGTTTAATGCTAGCAACTCCTCCGATTAGATAGTTTCGTACTTGTTTGTGTTTAGCTTTAAGTGTAGCAAGTAGAGAAGTTATTAGTCTGATTTGATTGGTGGTTAATGCTATTTTACTTTCTATATGCCCAACCACTCCAAACGTAAATTTTTGAAATTCTTTAGCTTATTTAAGAGGTCTTTGTTGCTAGTAGAGTATCAAACACCACAATCTAAACATGAACCACAGCACTGGGTTTGTTAATCTACTGCATAGCCAATCATCAGTTGACCTTGAGTCATCCGAACCTGTTTGGTTTCGGCAGCCAAGGTTTTGTTGAGTTTTGTTTCCCGTCTGGTGGCCCGTCTGGTGGCCCGTCTGGTGGCTCGTCTTCTGTCCAGTCTTCTGTCGAGTCTGCCGTCAAGGAGAGGAGGAAATGGTCTCTCAGTGAGGATAAAATCCTCATTGCTGCATGGCTTAACACGAGTAAAGACCCTGTAGTTAGCAACGACAGAAAGCTGAACGTTTCTGGAAGAGGATTGTTGACTATTACAATGCAAGCCCTCAAATGGTTGGGACAATACCAAGGGAGGTTGGTTCGTGCAAGCAGAGGTGGGCAAGGATTAACGAGCAAGTCTGTAAGTTCGTAGGATGCTATGATGCGGCGTTGAGGGCGCAGAAAAGTGGACAGAATGATGGTGATGTGATGAAACGTGCTCTGGACTCTTTCGACAAGCTTCATGGCCATAAATTCTACCTTGAACATGCGTGGCTGGAGCTGAGGCACGACCAGAAATGGTGCTCCACGTATGTCGTTAAAGACAAGCGCAAGCAAGTGGTGGACCTTGACAAAGAAGATGAAGTTCCCGTACCGGAAGAAAGACCAGTTGGTGTGAAAGCAGCTAAAGCTGCTGGGAAAAGGAAGAAGACTGGGAAAGAAGAGGAGATGTCACAGCTTCAAGCCATCATGGAAAAGAAAGAAACACTCTACAACCGGAAGATTCTTGATCGTTTACTTGCTAAAAAAGTTCCACTTTCTGAGATGGAAGAAACTCTTAAGCTCAAACTCATGTCAGACATGATATGATGATATTAAGGTCTATGTACTTGAGGAGTTAGTTGTTGATTTTAGTTACTTGTTATGTATTTGTTACATGTGCGCATTATTTGTTTCTTACTTGTCACTCTTTACTAACTTTTTTGTCTTCTTTCAGGTCCAGCTGTAGGAGACATGAACCAAGTCACGGGTGCGTATGGAGTTGAGAAGTTTTTTGTTGTTTTCCTGAAGTCACGGGTGGTCCTGCAGTTGTATTTCTATTTAAGCTATCTCTTTGCTTACCAATTAGCTATCTCTTTTGCTCTGTTGCGTAGAACATCAACAAATTCTCTTTTTGTAAAATATTGTTCTTATCTTGATGCTTCAAATCGGAGGTGTAATCCACCAAGTTGTAATCGAAGAAGTTGCTTCTATTTAGGTAACTCTTATATGTAATGGTTTCAGGTTGTAATCGATGTGTAATATTTTGAAAACATGTTTCTCAGTCACATGAATTTTATTAGCAACTCCAATTCTATTTAGGTAACTCTTATATGTAATGGTTTCAGGTTGTAATCAATTTGTGTACACTTAGGAATTTAGTATACTACTCGAACACATATCATACTAAAACAAGTAACCTGTAATGCTTCAAATTAGATTGCTTCAAATGAGAAGTTTATGTGTATTTTTTTGGAACTGAATTTGGTACTAATCGAACACAAGTAAAATGTCATCATCTTTTATTATACATAAATCAAATATATCATCTTTTTATACATAAATCAAATATATCATCTTTTTATACATAAATCAAATATATCATCTTTTAATACATAAATAAAATATATAATCTTTTTATACATAACTGAATGTATCTTTTATTATACATAAATAAAATATCTATTTTTTTTAACCAGGATACCGTAAAATGTCATCATCTTCATCCGAAGAGTTCGAAGAAAGATTCGACGAAGTTTACGACGAAATCTTTGAAGATACATTCAACGACATTGTCGACGCACAAAGCAGTAACCAACAGAGCCGTGCTTATATAGAAAGAAACCGTGAAGCAGGATACGACCGATTATGGAACGACTACTTCCGAGAAGATTCGACATTCTCGTCCCAATTATTCAGACGACGTTTCCGCATGAATAAGGACTTATTCTTGCGTATTGTCAATGCCTTAACAGTGTCCTTTCGATTCTTTCAGCAAAGACGAGATGCAACGGGAAGGTTTGGTCTTTCTTCACTCCAAAAATGTACGGCAGCAATTCGTATGCTCGCTTATGGTTCTGCGGCTGACACAGTTGACGAATATCTCCGACTTGGTGAGAGTACTGCACTTTCTTGTTTACATAATTTCACTGACGGAATAATACAGTTATTCGGAGATGAGTATCTACGACGACCCACAAAGGAGGATCTTCAACGACTACTCGATGTTGGAGAAAAACGAGGGTTTCCTGGGATGGTCGGGAGCATTGACTGTATGCATTGGGAGTGGAAAAATTGTCCGAGCGCTTGGAAAGGACAGTACACACGTGGATCAGCAAAACCGACAATTGTCTTAGAGGCTGTAGCTTCTCACGACCTTTGGATATGGCACGCTTTTTTTGGTCCTCCAGGTACCTTGAATGATATCAATGTCCTCGATCGGTCTCCGGTGTTTGATGACATTTTAGAAGGTCGAGCTCCCAGGGTACGGTATAAGGTCAACGGACGCATTTATAAGTTGGCATACTACCTCACAGACGGTATATATCCAAAGTGGTCAACATTTATCCAATCTATTTCACTCCCCCAATCTCCTAAAGAAGAGTTATTTGCTAAAGTTCAAGAATCGACCCGAAAAGATGTGGAGCGGGCTTTTGGACTATTGCAAGCTCGATTTGCAATTGTGAAAAACCCGGTTCTTACATTGGAGAAAGAAAAGATAGGCAAGATTATGAGAGCATGTATCATATTACACAATATGATAGTTGAAAATGAACGAGATGGATACATACAGTACGATATATCTGAATTTGAAGAAGGAAACGTCACCAGAAGTTCACATGTGGAACCCGCGAGGCCTACAAATCTGCATAATTTGTTTGGCGCTCGGAATGATCTTCATGATAGGCAAATGCATGAACGATTGAAATCTGATTTAGTCGAAAATATTTGGAATAAATTTGGTGATGAAGATTAATAATTAGTATATCTCTATGTTTAATTATTGTATCTTTATTTTTATTTATGCAATTAATAAAATTTAATTTTCGGTTAAATTTTTTTTTTTTAATATTTTTTTATTCTTAAGAACTTCATTATCGGGAACACCATTGGACACTCGATTTTGATAAGAATCCTTAACTATTCAAACAAAAAAAAAAAAAATTAATAAACTAATACTAAGGATTCAATGGAGGAATACACCATTGCATATGCCCTAAGAATCCATTTAATCAGTTAGAAAGCGTAAAGACACACATGAGACGAAAACTTTATCATCTATAGACTATAGTAGTGGCTTTTTTTGATCAAAAGACTATAGTAGTGGCTATCTACATGATTATTTACATTGAAGGCGTTGGAGCTCTGTCGGTTAGACTGAGCCAACTGGGAGCTACATCAGCTGCTGATCAACATGTGACAAATGATGTTGTCAGGGGAGGATGCTGAGCTGGAAAAATCGACTATATCTAGGGTAGTTAGTCTAGTTACTAGGATTGTGATATGTTTACACGTAGATTCATCTATTTTGAGCAAAAGCTTAGGCAAACGCGATAAGTATTAAGTTGTATTAAATTCGTACCCAAAAAGTCCTTATGTTGGGTGGTGTAGACGTGCATTTCATTTAGGATTTGTTTCACGAGAAAGGAATCATAAGATTTCATTTAAACATCTGCCACAGAATTAATTACAGTGTTAAAACATGTATATTAGTTTGGAAAATGAATAATAAGTCTAGAACATGAACGTTCATGAGTCATGACACTTTCGTGCTTACAACTCATTGATCACATGTCGATCCTATTCCAACGGCAAAAAGGAATTATTAATATGAATCTCTATAATATTATTTGAGAAGTCAGTTTCCTACGTGTCGCGCTCACGTTAATTCTTGCGATGGTTGATTACAGAGATACCCTTAATAAATTTTTAGATTTAAAATTATTATTTTTTATTTAATTTTTTTTACCTCTTTCCAAATAACATATATAGTAAAAAGGAAATATTTCTAAAATTTTAAAACAAATTTAAAACGAAAATATATGTATATAATATGAATTTATTAAAATGGAAAGTTCACAAAATAGTAACACTCCCATTAATATATATTTTTAAATATCATAAAATATATTTTCTAAATAATAAAAATATATATGTTCATGAACATCCAAAATTTATCAGTTACATTTTATTTTCTAATACTTTTTTAGAATTCTACATATAATTTGATAAATATTATGAAAATACATGTATATTTAAGCGATAAATAAAACTAATTTGATTTAACATAACTAAAATAAAGAGTAATTTTTCCTACGTGTCGCGCTCGCGTTAACTCTCGTCATTGTTGATTACATAGATACCCTTAGTGAATTGTCATATTTTAAGATTATTATTTTTTTATTTAGTTTTTTACCTCTTTCCAAATAACATATATAATAAAAAGGAAATATTTCTAAAATTTTAAAACAAATTCAAAACGAAAATATATGTATATAATATGACTTTATTAAAAAGGAAAGTTCACAAAATAGTATTACCCCCATTAATATATATTTTTAAATAACATCAAATATATTTTCAAAATAATAATAATATATATGTTCATGAACATCCAAAAAATTATCAGTTACACTTTATTTTATAATATTTATTAGAAATCAAAATATACTTTGATAAATATTATGAAAGTACATGTATATTTAAGCGATAAATAAAATAATTTGATTTAACTTAACTAAAATAAAGAGTAATTTTCTTGAACACATATAAAGAGTAAATAAATATTATGAAAATACATATATATTTAAGCAATAAATAAAATTAATTTGATTTGAATTAACGAAAATAAAAAGTAGTTATACTTCAATTTTAAATTAAAAATATATTTAACTCAATATACTCACAAAATGAATGACTCGACTGATCTAATTTATACCCAAAATTAAAAATCTAACTACAATAAGAACATATAATTTTATAGTAATAATAATAATAATCTATTTTATATATATAAATTAGAGGTTGACTCAAGACCTATTTAGAAAAAATATTAACCAAATATAATTTAATTATTTTTAGAATTTATATATATGCATGAGACTTCAAAATATTATCATTATATTATTTATGTAATTTTGAATCAAACACTTCAGCTTATTATTATTTCATTTTAAACATAATATATATTAATTTATACATAATTTAACTATAATATATTTACATATCTAAGAATATATTTACATATCTAAAGACAATAACCAACCGAAATAAAAATAAGAAAATTAATCAAAGTTTTATTATATTTAGAATAAAAAATATTATATCTGAATTCAAAAATATATATTATCCAATATACCAACTTGATAACCAAACCGACTATTGATCGAAAAAATAATTAAACCGACAATAATATATCTAAAGTCATATGTATAATTAGAAAAATATAATATTTATTACTATAAATTCTACATATAAATTGATTCAAAACTAAAACTAAATATCAATCAATTATTATAAAAATTTACTTTTATGAATATTCATACCCGTGCATGAGCACGGGAAAATCACCTAGAAAAAAGTTATTACCAGAAATATTAATTCAATATTGTAGGAATTCTATATAATTATACATTTCCTTTTTTATTTAAAAGTGGGATGAAATCATTTGGAACTTCAAGTTCTCAAGAACACAAACTTATAATCTCAAAGAAACTCTTCTTTTATTAATCACTCAATATGCTTTAGAAAATTACTCAAAACTAAAGCTCACAAACTCAAAATCCTTAAGGATGCAACACTCTTGCATCTCATATATATAGCTAATAATAATTCCTAAACTCTTTAGGATAAACACACCAATAGATAAGTCTAACTTAATCCCAAATATATTAGGATAAACCCAACCGTATTTAGGATAAACCTAAGTTAGCTTCAAGCTTAAGCCAACATTCTCCCCCTTAAGCTTGAACTCTCCATTTCTTATCTCTTGAACTCCAATGAGACTTCTCATCTCTTTAAACTTATTTCTTCCAAGTGCCTTAGTCACGATGTCAGCCTTTTGTTCTTCTCCTGGAACATGTTGCACTTCAATGAGATTACTCTCAACGCACTCTCTTATAAAGTGGTACCGCCTATGTATGTGTTTGCTTCGCCCATGGAACACTGGATTTCTTGTAAGAGCAATTGCTGACTTGTTGTCTATGCAGACCACTACTTTCTCACACGCTTGTTCAGCTATTTCTCCATAAAGATCTTGCAGCCAAATTGCTTGTTTAGCAGCTTCTGTTGCAGCCATAAATTCTGCTTCACATGAGGATAATGCTACGGTTTCTTGCTTCTGAGAACACCAAGTTATTGGACTATTGTTGAGATAAAACACATGCCCTGCATTGCTACAACCATCATCTTCGTCTACAGCATGTGAACTGTCACTGTAGCCTGTAAGTTTTGTTATCTCCTCTTTATCTCCTCGCTTGAAGGTCAGACCATGTGACAGTGTTCCTTGTAAGTACCTAAGAATCTGTTTCAACGCCGAGCCATGTGATTCCTTAGGTGAGTGCATGTAACGGCTTAGAACTCCTACGCAGTATGAGATGTCTGGTCGTGTGTGAAGCATGTACCTAAGACAACCAATGTTCCTTCTGTACTCCCCTTCGTCTATACCTTTTTCTTTCTTTGCTTTTGAAAGTCTTAGACCTGGATCCATAGGAACATGAGTGGAGTTGCAGTCTTCCATCTTCGTTTCACTCATAATTTTTCTTGCATATCTCTCTTGTTTCAATGTGATCCCGTGTTGATGTTGATATACCTCGATCCCAAGGTAATATGATAACCTCCCTAAGTCACTCATCTCAAACATAGTTGACATTCTCACCTTGAAATCTCTGACTGCATATGTGCTTGTTCCGGTGATTAATAAGTCGTCTACGTACACTGCAACAAGTAGGACATGATTCTTCTCTCGACTTCGGTACAAGGCTGGTTCTTTTGAACACTTTACAAAGTTCAAATGTTGCAGAACTTTGTTTAACTTCTCATTCCATGCCCTTGGTGCTTGTTTTAGACCGTAGAGTGCCTTTTTTAACTTGTAGACCTTTTCTTCTTGTCCCTTAATCACGAATCCCTCAGGTTGAGAAACATACACCTCCTCTTTCAGCTCTCCGTGAAGGAAAGCCGTTTTGACATCTAGGTGATGAACTTCCCAACCCTTTGATGCTGCCAACGCAAGTATGAATCTCACGGTTTCAATTCGTGCAACCGGAGCAAACACTTCCTCATAATCCACTCCATGTCTTTGTATGTAACCCTTGGCTACAAGTCTAGCTTTAAACTTGTTGATGCTCCCATCTGAATTCCTTTTAATCTTGAATACCCATTTCAAACCAATTGCCTTTGATCCACGAGGAAGCTCCACTAAATCCCAAGTTTTATTCTTGATGATTGATTTGATCTCATCTTCACAGGCTTCTCTCCATACCTTCTCCTCCTTTGCTTCTTCGTAGTTCCAAGGCGCATCATTGATTGACAATAGTAAGTGTTCACCTTCTGCTTCTGCTAGTACTATATAATCATCAAGATAACTCGGCTTCTTGCTTTCTCTTGATGATCTTCGTAATACAACTACATCAGAACTCTCTTCATTCTCATCGACAGCAGAACTAATATCTTCTTCTTCAGGTTCACTTCCAGCTTCAGTACCATCTTTCTCATCAACGCCATTGTTGTTTTGCTCTCGTAGTGCAAGCTTGAACATACCTGGATCACTCCTTGTCTCTATGGTTTTCCAATCCCATTCTTTATTCTCATCGAAAGCTACATCCCTGCTCACAATAATCCTTCTAGTTATGGGATCAAGCAGTCTATAGGCCTTGGATCCAGGCTCGGTACCAAGATGCACAAGCTTTCTTGACCTATCATCAAGCTTCCTTAGATGTGTTGCTTCCACTTTGGCGTAACCAATACAACCAAATATGTGTATGTGTCCCACATTTGGTTTTCTTCTCTTGAAGGCTTCATATGGCGTTTCCTTGCTCAACACTCTTGTTGCAACTCTATTGATTAAGTATGTAGCATGTCTTACAGCCTCCCCCCATAAGTAGTTTGGTACATCCATATGTTTGAGAATGCTCCTGGTCATTCCTAATAGCGTTCTATTTCTGCGTTCAACCACCTCATTCTGTTGAGGGGTGTATGGGGCCGTTAAGTGTCTTGTTATACCCGATGTTTCACAGAAGTCTTGGAACTCTCTTGATACAAACTCTCCACCACGGTCTGTCCTGAGTACTTTGATCATGGTTCCTGTCTCTTGTTCAACACTCTTCTTAAATCTTTTGAACTTTTCAAATGCTTCACCTTTCTCTTTGATCAAAATTGCCCACATGTATCGACTGTAGTCATCAATAAGAACGAATATATACCTATTATTTGCCGGTGTAGCAGGTGTAATAGGCCCGCAGAGGTCTCCATGTATAAGTTCAAGAACCTTATTTGCTCGAAACATGGTTGATTTTGGGAACTCATGTCTTGCTTGCTTACCAAGTAAGCATGAAGAACATGTTTCTTTCTCAATTGTAACCTTCGGAATTCCAGTGACAAGCTCATGTTTGATCATTGTACTCATTGAATCTCGTCCTATGTGCCCGAGTCTTGCATGCCACTTATCAGACTCACTCATAGACATAGCTTGTAAGCACTTTGCAATATCACGTTCGAGAAGTACTTTGTATAACCTATTCTTGGATCTCTTGGCTCTGGTTATCAGTCGTCCTTCCTTGTCATGTAGTGTAAGGTAATCATCTCTCATTCGTACGTCACACCCTGACTCTGTTGCTTGACCGAGGCTGATGATGTTACTTCTTAAATCTGGTATGTAGTAGACGTCGGACAATGTTCTTTTCTCTCCATTCTTAGATAAGAATATGACTGGTCCCTTTCCTTTTATGTCTATGCGTGAATCATCACCAAAGCGTACCTTCCCAGTGATAGTTTCATCAATATATTTGAAGTAATCTCGGTTCCCTGTCATGTGATTGCTCGCCCCGTTGTCTAGATACCAGATATTTTCTCCCACCAGGTTGGTTTCGAAATCGCTTAGGTGTATGTTCTTTTCATTCAGAAAGATTACCTCATGTACCATTAGTTCTTCAGCTTCTCGTGTTTCATCATCCTTGGTCTCTCGTGTTTCCTGTAGTTTGAGCAGCCTATCAGGGCAGTCCATTGCAAAGTGACCAGTTTTGTCGCATCTGAAGCAAACGATTTTTGACAAATCACGATCATAGTTGTACTGATAACGTCCTCTGCCTCTTCCTCTGTTATAGAACCGTCCACCTCTGCCTCGTCCTCTCACGTAGTTATTATCACGGCTGTAGTTATTACCATCACGGTTTTGTTGTTGGCTCTCATTATTTGCATACATCAATTTTGTCTGATCATCTTGTTTTTCTTCCTCCTCTTCTTCATCATCTAGACGATCTTCATATGCTTTTATCCGTCCTATAACATCTTCAAAACTTGTGGTGTTTAGGTCAAGAAACTGTTCCAAAGATGCCATAATTTGTAGGTACTTCTTTCTTGGAAGACTCTTAAGAAACTTCCTTACAATCTTCCCTTCTTCTATGATATCTCCCAATGCAGCAGCTTTAGATTGGATTTCAGATAATTTTCCAGCAAAATCATCAACTTTATCTGTATCCTTCATCTTGAGGCGATCAAATTCCGTGGATAGGGTTTGTAAACGTGCTTCACGAACTCTATATGCTCCCATATACCTTGTCTTGATGGCCTCCCACACCTCCTTTGCCGTATCTAGCCCTCCGACTTGCAAAGTCAGGCTTTCAGGTATTGACCCGAACAGTAACGCTTTAGCCATGGTGTTCTTCTTCTTATTATCTGTCTTGTTCTCGACAGCCTCCCATACCTCATGTACTTCTAGTAGAAGCTTAATTCTTATGCCCCAAACTGTATAGTTTGTTGCGGTTAGCGTCGGACAACTTATGGAGGATGTCCCTCCTTCTTCTTTGACCTTAGTAACTGTTGTAATATCTCCCATGGTTTATTGAATCTACTTGAGATCGTTTGTTTGCTCTGATACCAAATCAAGTTCTCAAGAACACAAACTTATAATCTCAAAGAAACTCTTCTTTTATTAATCACTCAATATGCTTTAGAAAATTACTCAAAACTAAAGCTCACAAACTCAAAACCCTTAAGGATGCAACACTCTTGCATCTCATATATATAGCTAATAATAATTCCTAAACTCTTTAGGATAAACACACCAATAAATAAGTCTAACTTAATCCCAAATATATTAGGATAAACCCAATCGTATTTAGGATAAACCTAAGTTAGCTTCAAGCTTAAGCCAACAGAACTATGTGGAAATTTTAAATCTATATGAATTTGAATATTATATATTTAACATACAAAACTTTAATTATGTCTTAGATAATTATTCCTTAAATTTATATATAGTACAACATCTAGACTATTATCTCTCTCAAAAGAAAAACATCTAAACTATTTGCAACTAATACTAAATAAATTAATGTTAAGGTCATACTTACGTATTGAAGGAATTCTATATAATGAGATACATGTCTTTTTTATTCAAAAGTGGGTTGAAATAATTTGGAACTATGTGGAAATTTTAAATACATATTAATTTGAATATTGTATTCAAACAACATACAAAGCTTTAATTATATCTTAGATATTAGTTCCTTTTGTTTATATATAGTACAACATCTAAACTATTACCTCTCTCAAAAGAAAAACATCTAAACTATTAGCAACTAATAATAAAAAAATTTATGTGAAGTACTCAAGCATACTACCGTACGATTTAATTAAGGGGACGGTTAAGATGCATCAATGAAACTTATATCATTCGTCTCTCTCTCCCCTTTTCAAGTACTATAATAACATTCGAAGCTACCCTTCTCTTACAAAAAAATAAACTAAATCTCAAGTTTGATCAAGAAAATCAAGAAAGATGCCTAAAGATAGGAAGATCGGAATCGCGATGGATTTCTCGGAGAGCAGCAAGCACGCACTGAAATGGGCATTCGAGAACTTAGCTGATAAAGGAGACACACTTTACATCATCCACACGTTACCAGTTGACTCTCATAACTCTGCCTGGCTCGAATCCGGTTCTCGTAAGTCTTTTTTTTCTCTTTAGTCCTCCGGTTTAAGGTAACTTTTGCGGTTGAAATGTCGTCTTAGTTCGTTTTTAATATGATGTTGCAGCTCTCATACCGTTGGTGGAGTTTAGGGAACCGGAGATCATGGAGAAATATGGTGTCAAGATTGATATCCCAGTTCTTGACATGCTTGACACTGGTTCAAGGCAAAAAGAGGTTTATTTGTTTTTTATTATAAATATGTTTCTTGATCCTAATCAAAGCACATTTCTGAACTTTTAATTCGTTACATATATTAACAAGTGATGTGGTTATAATAATAGGTGCATGTAGTGACGAAATTATATTGGGGGGATGCAAGAGAGGCGCTTGTTGATGCTGTTGAAGATCTCAAACTTGATTCTATTGTCATGGGAAGCAGAGGACTCAGTGCCCTTCGAAGGTTTTTTTTTCTTACTTTTTATTTGATGCGATCTGAAAGCTTTGTAGCCATAATGTCATTATTGCTTAGGTTTGATCATTGTATACGACATTAGAACTGGGTAGATAGTATGTTAGGGTGGTTAAGATTGATAATGTCCATGATTGAAAATTAAAATGGCTCGTTATAGCTAAAAGACAATGTTAAATACCACTGGCTCTGAGTCCATGGTTTTACAAACTAAAATCCATCTCATTAGGTTTAGCTTAGCTTTGAGTTTTTGTCTTTATCTCATAGCTAAGAAAAAAACAAACCATATAAATTTTCTTAAGAATCTAATATATGGTATGGTTGGCTGGTTACATCTTTTTTTTTACTACGCCTCTCATTTATTCCTGGATTTTTCAAGGGCAACATTTTATCATCTGGTTACATGTACCCTTTTCTTTATTCATTTCAAATTCAACTTTGTTTATTCGTATTTTTTGTAAGTGTGAAATGAACTTATTTCTAAGCGTTTTTTTTCCAAACAGGATAATAATGGGAAGCGTGAGCAGCTTCGTGATTCAGCACGCTCCTTGCCCTGTCACCGTTGTCAAGGATAACGATTCTCACTAAAATAAAGCCTGTCTTTATCTCATAATCTTTTACCAAAACAATCATCGATGCTTATGCTTTTAATTAAAGAATAAAAGAACCTTTTTCTCGTTGTATTTCAATTTCATAGCAATACATTATGGCATCGCGTATTTGTTCACACCTATAGTTATTTCTTTTCTTGCAAAATTCTTTCAATTATTTCGGTTTGTTTTTACTGGAATCGCTCAATACGATTTACGGATCAACATGAGGGTGGGATCTTTAAATAATTTGTATAGTATATATCCAGAAAAGGTTAAAATAAGTTTGCGTGACAGAAAGCACATGGATAGGTCGGTCCCTTTTCATCTGGTCATTGACTATGAAAACAATTATTAGAATATTTGTAGGATTTTTTTTACAGAAACCAATTGAGTATTAATTATTTTATTCTTCGACGATATACACGATGATGAGTTGATGACTAAACTATGAAAACAAATATTTTTTACACACGAAATTCTGTTTCTTCCTATGAAATTGTCATTTTGTAGAGGGTGGGGAGACAAGCTGGGCCTGAGGATACCATAAGAATACTGGGCTAAAATCTTGTTAATGGGCTAGCTTAATGCTTAATCTAAACATGCTCTAGTATAATGATGTACCATTAACATACTTCAAAAGCTACAAGGTCGGTGATGACACAACTCCCACAAACCCACCATCCCATTTGATAATCAAATTAAGAAATAAAACAAGCATTAAGATGTTTGTTCAGTGATCCTCTCAAACATCAACACCTGGAAACTTCTGTTGTTGGTAAGAACACTACCTCAATCTCACTCAAGTGCTTACTCCACTATCTTCAGTGCCTTGAACCTAAAGACAAAAATCTCATGCTATATAAATTCATACATTCAAGTATCAATGCCAACACACAAATAAGACCAACAGAAAACATAATCTCATTCTTACACCAAATCTCCCACACAAAACATAATGGCGTCTTCTATGAAATTTCTCTGCGTTCTTGGCCTAATCCTCCTTATCGGCTCCGTAGTAGATGGAGCAGGAGAGTGCGGTAGATCTTCTCCTGACAATGAGGCAATGAAGCTGGCCCCATGTGCAGGCGCGGCTCAGGACGCTAACGCCGCCGTGCCGGGCGGTTGCTGCTCTCAGATTAAAAGATTCTCTCAGAATCCTAAGTGTCTCTGCGCCGTTCTTCTCTCAGACACGGCTAAAGCCTCAGGAGTGCAGCCGGAGGTTGCCCTCACTATCCCCAAACGATGCAATTTCGCTAACCGCCCCGTCGGTTACAAGTGCGGAGGTACGTACTAACATGTTAAGATAGCCTAATTTATGTTTCATGCAGTAAGTAGAACAGACGTACGTGAGGTACCAAAACTATATATACAATATTAACAATTACTACTAATGTTATATGTTGTTTTTTGTGTGTGTGTTCCTTATAGCATACACACTCCCATGAAGTGTTGAGGATGGAGATTCATGGGCTCTACGATGAAGCTTTGGAGTTCACTAGTCACTACCACACCCTAAAAAGCCTATCCTCATGTATTGTATATTATATGAATAATGATAATGTTTTATATGTATCAGTGCGGTTGTAATTAATAACTACATCAATAATATATGAAATGATTTTACACATGTTTGATTAGACCTATCAAAGGTCGCTCCATGTTTAGCACATTGATTAGAAGTAAAAACTTAAAGGTTTGAGACTGTAGGCACCAAAGCTTGCAAATCCACTAAGATATTCACCAATCTATACTATTAAAGCAGGATCCTATTGTTAAAATTTTGAATTCTACCCCTAGATTTTTATCACATTTATAAGATAATACCACTATTTATTTTTAGAATCTTAATTAATCAAACAATTTAATATCTTCTATATTTATGGTAATTGATAATATTTCCTATTTTGTGATTAATAATAATTTTCTTTTTATGAAAATTATGATTTTCTCTTTAATTTTAATATCATATTTCCGTGCATCATATTATTTAGCAATCAAAAATTATAAATTATTATTTACTGTTTCATTTTATCCATAATAATGATATGTCAATTCAATTTGTTTTAAAAACTAAATTTTAGATATAAAATGAGTAAAAATGTAAACTTATCATAGGTTATTAATAACGAAAACAAACTAATATTGTTATATGAATAAATTGTGTTTTTTTTTCTATTGCCATTGTTTCATTTTTTCAAATGACAAGAAAGTTTTTATTAAAGAAATTACAAAAAATCAATTTTATTTAATATTAAAAATATGAATTATTTAACAAATTTTTAAAAATATATTATCAGTTTTTATGGGGTTATTTAACAGATCAACGGATATCATAATACAAATTAATAGCGGGTTTTAAGATATATACCGAGTTGGCTTAAATTTTTAATTAGTAAATTTTTAATTAAATCTTAACTGGATTATATAAAAATTGCCGGATGTACCGGTTCAACTATGGATCTGTGTCGGATATGGAAACATTACGTGAAAATCAAACATTATAATAGAACTTTTTTAAATATTAATAAAACAATTTGAAAATGTTTGTGTTTGAATAATTAATTTAAATAGATTTTATCAAAATGGTAAAAATATACCCGCGCTTTTAAAGCGCGGGTCAAAATCTAGTATAATCTTATAAGAGCACCCCATTAGTGAAATTATAGGGTGTTCACACAGATTCCCAAAAAAAAAACCAAATAATCCACAGTAGGAACCCGTCTCGCAGGAGGTCTCAGCAGTGAACCTATTTCACGGGCTCCACGCCACGGTCTGCGATTGATTCAATTATTTCGCTACAAGAAAACTAAGCTTTTAGTAGGAAAATAGTTTCTCGTAAAATTACTACGAGTTAACTTCGAGTTTACGAGGAAACACTTTTTCCTCGTAAAGTTCTCGTAAACTTACGAGAAAAATGTTTCCTCGTAAACTCGTAGTAAACTTACGTGGCTCTTACGAGGAAAAAGTCCTTTTCCTCGTAAAATCATAGTATCTCATTTCCTCGTAAAGTCCTAGTAATAATTTACTACGAAATTAGGAGGAATGAATTTGTTACTACGAAATTAAGAGGAAATGGATAGAAAATATCGAATTTAAATCAAAAACGTGTTTTGTACCTACTTTTCCTAGCAATTTCCTAGTAAATTCTCAGATTCGAAAATTTATAGAAATACCACCATATGTGATTCATTTGAAACACACCAAAAAAAAAAAAAATCAGCTATAAGCTTGATCAAACACAAAAAATATCTCCGGTCCGGGAAATATTTTCGAGTTGCGGAAGTGTATGTATTCACACAGAGATAATAACGGGAGGGTGACGAAAGAATTTCTCGAAGGGTTAGAGACGTTTATGCATCAAGCAGATTCTACACCACTCACGCAGGAAAGTGGTAAGATGTTCTGTCCTTGTCGGAAATGTTGTAATACCAAATTAGGCCCTCGTAAAAATGTTTGGAAGCATTTAATAAATAGAGGTTTCATGCCATATTATTATATTTGGTATCAACATGGAGAAGATGCTAGTTGTAGGAATGAAGGTATAAGTAGTAATAGCAATTTTCAGATTGAACCGGTTGAGCATTTGTGTAATGAAGGTAGCAGTAGTAATAGCTATCATCACCAAGAGAAACAAATGGTAGATTGTGATAGGGTTCATGATATAGTACGTGATGCCTTTGTAGCTCATGATGATGATGAAGTTTAAGAACCTAACTTGGATCCAAAAAAGTTTTATGAAATGTTAGATGCTGCGAATGAGCCAATTTACAGTGGTTGTAGAGAAGGTCTGTCTAAATTGTCGTTGCCTGCTAGAATGATGAGTATTAAAATCGATCACAATCTACCTGAAAATTGTATGGATGCATGGGTAGACTTGTTTAAAGAGTATTTGCCAGAAGACAATGTGTCTGCTGAATCTTATTATCAGATTCAGAAATTGGTATATAGTCTTGGGTTGCCCTCGGAGATGATAGACGTTGTCATGATTTACTGGGGAGATGATGAGAAGTTAGAAGAATGTCGATTTTGTAAGAAGCCACGATTCAAACCGCAAGGTCGAGGGCGTAATAGGGTACCGTACCAAAGGATGTGGTACCTACCAATCACAGACAGATTGAAAAGATTGTACCAATCTGAGGAGACTGCTGGAGGGATGAGATGGCACGCCGAGCATACTCAGNCGATTTTGTAAGAAGCCACGATTCAAACCGCAAGGTCGAGGGCGTAATAGGGTACCGTACCAAAGGATGTGGTACCTACCAATCACAGACAGATTGAAAAGATTGTACCAATCTGAGGAGACTGCTGGAGGGATGAGATGGCACGCCGAGCATACTCAGACGGATGGAGAGATGACTCATCCATCAGATGCAAGAGCCTAGAATTTTTTTAACAATGTACATCCACATGTCGCTAGCAATAGCCAGAATGTGTATCTTGGATTTAGTCCATTTGGAATGTCTAGGAGACAATATTCATTGTGACCGGTCTTTCTTACACCGTATAACTTGCCACCGGAGATGTGCATGCGACGAGAGTTTCTATTCATGAGCATATTAATACCTGGTCCAAAATATCCAAAAAGATCTCTCGACGTTTTTCTACAACCACTGATAAAAGAGTTGAAAGATTTGTGGTCAACAGGGGTGAGGACATATGATTGTTCAACTAAAACAAACTTTACGATGCGAGCGATGCTTTTGTGGACCATAAGTGACTTTCCTGCATATGGTATGTTGTCTGGGTGGACTACACATGGGAGATTAGCTTGTCCATACTGTAATGGAATGACAAATGCGTTTCAGTTGAAGCATGGTAGGAAGACTAGTTGGTTCGATTGTCACTGTCGATTTCTTCCTATTCACCACCCATACAGAAGAAACAAGAAATTGTTCAGGCACAGAAAGGTTGTAAGAGACACTCCTCCTCCATATTTAACTGGAGAACAAATCGAAGCGCAAATCGATTACTACTGTGCTCTAGAAACAGCTCCTCGTGGTGGGAATTGGCATGTTCCCAGTAATATGCCTGATTCTTATGGTGTTCAGCACAATTGGCACAAAAAGAGTATATTTTGGGAATTGCCATATTGGAAAGATCTTCTTTTGCGCCNGAGAACAAATCGAAGCGCAAATCGATTACTACTGTGCTCTAGAAACAGCTCCTCGTGGTGGGAATTGGCATGTTCCCAGTAATATGCCTGATTCTTATGGTGTTCAGCACAATTGGCACAAAAAGAGTATATTTTGGGAATTGCCATATTGGAAAGATCTTCTTTTGCGCCACAACCTCGATGTGATGCATATAGAGAATAACTTTTTTGAGAACATCATGAACACTATATTGAATGTCCCAAAGATGAAAGACAACATAAAATCAAGGTTGGACTTACCCGATATCTGATCAAGAAGTGAGCTACATATAAAAAGCAATGGGCAAGTTCCAGTTCCAATATTCAGACTGTCATCAGAAAAAAAGTCTGCGTTGTTCAACTGGGTGGCTTCAGAAGTGAAGTTCCATGATGGGTATGTTTCAAATCTCTCAAGATGTATTGAGAAAGTGCAAAAGTTCTCCGGGATGAAGAGCCATGATTGTCATGTCTTTATGCAGCGACTACTTCTCTTTGCGTTTGCGGAGCTACTACCGGCAAAAGTACATGAAGCACTTTCAGGTAATTAATTAATATAATACGATGACATGATTAATTTATTTATATATATATATATATATATATATATATACTAATGTGGATAATTTTTGTTTTCGTATATATAAAGAATTAGAGCATTTTTTAGGGATCTGAGCACCCGCACTCTTAAAATGGAAGTTGTTCAACAACTTCATGAAAACATCCCCTTCTTAATCTGCAACTTGGAGAAAATATTCCCGCCAACTTTTTTCGACGTCATGGAACACCTAGTTGTCCACCTTCCGTATGAGGCATTACTTCGTGGATCCGTGCATTATGGATGGATGTATCAGTATGAAAGGGCCATGAAAACTTTGAAAGGAAAAGCCAAAAACCTAGCAAGAGTTGAAGGTTCTATTGTTGCGGGAAGTTTGACGGAAGAAACATCACATTTCACTTCGTACTACTTTGCACCGAAAGTACGTACAAGGAAACGAGCTCCAAGAAGATATGATGGTGGTGGTGTCGTGCCGACATATATGGAAGACGATGTTCCAGACATCTTTTGTCAAATTGGGCGATTGGGTGGAAAATTGAAAGAGGTTTGGTGGTCGAGTGATGAAGACGTCCATAGTGCACACCTTTATATTCTTCTTAATTGTGAGCATCCATTGATTGCTTATTTTGAAAGGTAAATATATAAACATACACACTTATATATATATATATATTCAATATTAAATATATAACATAACATATATGATTTTTCAGTCAATTTGAGACTCAAGTCGAGGAAGCAATACCTGGTATATCGACAACTGAGTTAGACAAAAGATCAACAATTTATCAAGTGGTTGGCGAAACATGTATTTATTTATTACTTAAATTGTATGCATACATTACCACAAAGTAAGTCTAATGTCTAATTATTTTACTTTTTGTTGCAGGTTGATTATGACGATCCTGAGTATCCCGCATGGTTTCGCGAATTACTTCAAGGTCCACTTGCAAAGGTCACTACATCGTCGATGTATTTCACCAGAGGCTATACTTTTCATACCTATGACTATGGTAGACACCGGACGACAAGTAATTATGGAATATGTGTGAAAGGCGAAACAAATTTCTACAGGATCTTGCAGAAGATCTATGAAGTTCAATTCCCGGGTATGTGTTTAAAATGCGTTATCTTCAAGTGTGAGTGGTACGACCCCGTCGTAAACAGAGGTGTTCGAATTAACAAGATTGGTGTAGTTGATGTCAACGGTGGACGAAGGTACACCAAATTTTTTTTTTTTTTTAATATCCAGGTTTCCAATATTAATTAATTTTTACATATTGATCTTTATTTTCGTAGGTACAACAAGTTCAAGCCTTTCATATTAGCTTCCCAAGCAGATCAAGTTTGCTTCATTCCATACCCTCGGATTACTACCTCGGGAATAAACTGGTTAGCTGTTATCAAAGTTACACCTCGAGGACGAATAATCGCTGGAGAAGAACCACCATTACAAGAAGAAAACACCAATGAGATCGAGGAAGCTGAAGCAGAAATTGATGAGTTCCTACTNTACCCTCGGATTACTACCTCGGGAATAAACTGGTTAGCTGTTATCAAAGTTACACCTCGAGGACGAATAATCGCTGGAGAAGAACCACCATTACAAGAAGAAAACACCAATGAGATCGAGGAAGCTGAAGCAGAAATTGATGAGTTCCTACTCATTGATCCGCATAATCGTCAATACGAAGATGTTCCTGATCACTCAACGGACGAAGGTGTAGACGATTAGAAAATGATGATGTTTCAACAGATTACGACAATGCATCTGAATGAATTATGTATGTTTATAAGTTTGTTTAATCACAAAATCAATTTGGATTATATATGTTTTAAGTTTGTTTAATCACAAAATCAATTTGCATTTGGGGTTTGGGGTTTATGTGTAAAAGAGGTTAGGAGTTTGGTTGTAGAAGAGGTTATAAGTTAATGAAGTTGTGGTTTGGGGTTTGGGGTTTAGAGTTTAGGGATTTATAAATCCTTTCCTCGTAAAGCCCTAGTAATAGAAAAAATGGGCATAGCAATTTCCTCGTAATGTTCTAATAAGGTGTTACTAGGGCTTTACGAGGAAAAAAACGTGGGCATAGCTATTTCCTCGTAAAGGGGTTTCCTCGTAAAGCCCTAGTACAACCATTACGAGGACCTTACGAGGAAATAAAAACACGGGCATAGATATTTCCTCGTAAAGCCCTAGTAATGTTACTAGGACTTTACGAGGAAACAAAATTCCTTATATATACTCGAGCAATCCGGTTTCTCATTTGCTAGTAACCTTCTCTCTAAATCCTCTAAAGGTTCTCTCTAATCCGTAGTTAGGTGATTAGATTAGAGAATTTAGATTAGGTGGTTAGTTTAGGGAATTTAGATTAGGTGGTTAGTTTAGGTAATTTATATTAGGTGGTTAGTTTAGGTAATTTAGATTAGGTTGGTTTACTTTTATTTACTGTTTTTTTAAATTATACGGGAATTAATGTTTTGATTTTTTTTTTTTTTATATATAGATGCCTAGACAGAGCAAGCTTGCTAAGGCTGCTGGTAAGAGGACGTCGTCTCTCGAGGGGAGTCACTACGGAGATAGGTTTGGGCGTCAAGATGCTCCGGGTTCATCTTCGTCAGCTCCTGGTTCATCTTCGATTCCCGAGACTCAGGGAGCTTCTACGGCGTCCCGGCAACCACCTCCTCCTCCTCCTCCTCCACCGGTCGGGGTTCATCTCGATTTGCAGGTGTCGCCAAACGCACCCTTTGCGGTGTACACGGAGGAGGATATTTTCGCCCTTCCAAGTAGAGAAGAGTTGGCAGAGTTAGATCCTTACCGACGGGATGACCAAAACTTATTATGGTATGTTTTAATTTTTAAAAAGTTTTTTTAATTTATTTCTTTATTAACAAAATATTTAGAAATTAATCTAATTAATCATTTATTTTGTGTCTTTCCAGGTTTGGTCTTGACAATTGTGTCGGATCTAGCGTCACAGACTGTATCAAGGGATACTTTCCCGATCCAGCTCCAAACTGGAAGATGACGGTGAGCCACACAAAAAAGACGTGGTTCAAATCGTTCGTTGTAAGTTTAATTCGTTAATTTATTTTTAATTATTTAAAATTATTAATATTATTGAACTAATCCGTCTTTTATTTTTTCTGGCTACAGCAAAAGTATCGTTGGTCTATTGGGATTCACCAGCGGGTGAAGGAGTTTGAGGCCAAGGCAAGAGCACGATTGCTCGACATGGTCTACAACTGGAAGGGAGACTATCAGGTATATATTTATAAATTATAATATATATCTAGTTTTAAAAATATTATATATTGACTTTAATTTTAATTTTTTTTAAATCAGGTGGATGGTTACGAGGCCGGGAAACCCGATTGCCTCACAACCACGGTGTGGGATGGCCTTATCAGCTATTGGGGATTGACGGACTCGGTCAGAACCTCCAACACAAACTCCGGGAACCGCATGACCAAAGACTAGCATGGCAACACGAAGGTGCTTCACACCACGGGTTGTAAACCTCACGGGGGAGTTCGTCTAGACATGGTAAGATGATTTTTAATAACAATTTAAATTTTATTTTATTTGAATTCCAAATTAATATTTAATTTTATAATAATTTTAGGCTAAGGAGACATGAGTTCTTCCATCTCTGAAAGACCTTTACGAGAGGACCCACCGGAACAAGGTTGGGCAGTTTGTAGATCCTACTTCCGAGCGGATCTATAACGAGCTTGTTGCCCGAGTTGACGAACGCCAGACCCAGCTGACTCAGCAGACTAGGACTTTAGTCATATTATCCACTGTTGACGTGGATAAGATTTACGAGGAGGTAAATAATTTGTTTTACTATTAATTTTTTCTATTTTTTTAATTTTTTTCTTAATGTTATTAATATTTTTATTTACAGGTCGCCCCTAGGAAAAAGAGGCGTATCATCGGGATTGGCTCGGTTAACGATGTCCCTGCAGCGACATCGTCTTATCATCAGGAGCAGCACGATGTCAATGCTCAGCTGCGCTCGGAGTTGCAGGCGACGCAGTCTCATGCGAGTTCGCTCACCGAGCATGTGACTTCTCTCACCGATGTCCTCGACATTATGTCGGTTGGAAACCCGCATGTGCAGGAGATGTTGCGTCAGAGACGGGAACGTGGAGGGATTCCAACCCAACAGCATCCACCATCACAGTCACAGCCGGCAACCAACTATGGAGAGGATTTGCCGAGCCTGGACGACGACGAGTTCGTTCAGCAATTTCAAGACCAGCATCCGTAGTTTTTTTTATTTTTAATTGTATATTATGAATTTAATTTTTTTATATATTATTTCGTTATTTATAATATATTTTGTGTTTTATTTTTTATTTATAATTTGATTTTTTTTTTTTTTTTAAAAAAAATAAAATAATTATTTATAATTATTATTTTAATAGGGAAAAGAACATTTCGAAGCAAAATCCTCGTAAAGGTTTCCAAGTAATGTCCTCGTAAATGGTTCTAGTAAGTTCCTCGTAATCTATTACTACGATCTTATGAGGAAAAGTTTACTACGAGCTTACGAAGAAAGCCTACGAGGACCTTACAAGGAAAATATAATCACGCCTTTACGAGAAAACTTTTCCTCGTAAATTCGCTAGGACCTTACGAGGAAAATGGCTTTACGATGAACGTGTTTCGAGGAAACGCGTTTCCTCGTTATTTCCTAGTAAATGGCCGTTTACTAGGAAATAACGAGGAAAACCCGTCCTAGTAATGGACGAGTTTTCTTGTAGTGTTTATTTATTTATTTAAAAATCAAACCGAAAAAATAATAATGATTTTTGTGATTTGGGAAATCAAGATAATGAATTTCACTAATGGAGATGGCCTAACTACTAATGGAGATGGCCTAACTGAAGCAAATAGTAGTATCAAAAAATCATTGTGGCCGATCCTAGGAAAATTCGAATGAAATGTTGGCCTTAACCCTCAAACTTTTTGAAAAAAATTACATATACATAAATAACCAAAAAGAAAGTTAACCCTTAAATTTGTAAAAAAAAATAATAATTGAAATCGTTAATATCCACTAAATCTCATGTCCTAGATGATGAACCATTTCAGACACTCACCAAACGGAATTTAAAAGCAAAAATAAGCCAAAACTTTATTTATGTATATTAAAGTTAGAACCTACAATCAGCTGTGGAGTAAAAACCAAAGAAAGAAATTCCGGGAAAAAAAAAACAAAGCAAAATAGATCCTATTGTCAGCACGTAGCTACCACCAGACTCCATAAAGAGATGAAGTTATTACCATGTGTCATGACCACGTTTTCTTGTGTTTCTTTGAAGCTGGCTTTACTTTTGACCTACATATATATAGTCTGAACAAAAACCGAGTCGAAAATGCTGAAGATCAGAATGAATACCCCCTCGACTCCTTGGAGGTTGCCTATCAAGATTGATATAAACAAGCGTCACATAACAGATTTTGAATGTGGAGTCTACTTATTCTGTAAAAAAAAAAGGACTAATCACCTTCCGAATAGGCGAAACTCAAAACCTGAGCCTATAGGATCATAACGAGCACCTGGAGGTGACACAACCCTATTAAAACCACAAGAATCCATGGCTTATTTGTCAGTAACAATTGAGATATTATCTTGTGTTCAACTTATATGAGCTATGTACATGTACGTGCATTTTTGTAAAAGAAAGCGATGCAAGAAAGGGGAAGATTTTTACCGTTGTGGAGTTCCCATGAAACCAAGATCATGTGGTCCTACTTCCAAGGCCAAAACCATCCTTGACCACCGGTAAACTTCCAACAGGCAGGCCAGGGATAATGTTTGAACCAAGTTTGGTGATAACAAGTAAGTGATCGATGGAAACTCGTCGGTGGGTTATTACGAAGGTACAAGCGAACAAATGAAACAAAGAGCGACTTTATTGATTAAAGAGTGAGTGTTTTACAAAGAGAACGGTGCTCGGGAGCTACCGGAGTAGTACGGACCGACCTAAGAACAACGATATGAGTAAAACCCTAGTTTAGTTGCCGCTTATTCAGTCTATTTTCGGATCCCCATTAAGTTCACCATCTCTTCGCCTTTATAGGTCGCTGACGAAAAACCTAATGGGCCGTATCCTTTGTTTCGTGGGCCTCCTAGGTGGGCCGGATCAGTTTACTCGGTATGGATGATGACGTAAGCTCGTATCGACTCCCTTGTCGTGTTGCGGCCCAGTGCTCTCCTCGCTCTAGCGAGCCGAGTAATGGGCTTGGGCTTCTTATTCGACGGGCCTTGAGGGTTGGACTCAAGTCCATCCCCTACAGATAAGACCGCAGTAATCTGGGCGTTGTACCACCCTAACAAGTAAAATCAAGAAACGATAAGTTTTCATTTTCTAATATGTTTTATAGAAAAAAAATTAATGACACAATGAATCATAGTAAGCAGTAAGTAGTCGACGTTTTACATTGAGGGGTAATGAAACTGAGATCCTAATGGAAAAGGCCTTGGAGCGTAGTATACAGGCTCAGGCTCAGGCTCAAGCTCTTTCTTTCTCTTGGAACTGCAAGCAACGTATGATAACGAAGAAGGTCTTACAATACACTTGAAGGACTATAAATCATTACCATTCTAGCCCAACTACTAAAATGGCCCCAAATAATGAAAGTCCCACGATGAGATTGTCCATAAAAATAGAGATATAATAATCTGCACATTATTCGGGTGTGATTAAAACATAATGATCAGATAAGCTCAAGTCAAATCCATCCGAGTAAATCTATTTTTACTGTAACACTACAACTTAACTCATGTTCGTTCCCGTTCCGCCATCTAATAACATATTAGGAGCAATAAAACTCTTTGTAACTAAGGGGATAACCTGATCCGAGTCCGGGTCGTAGAAGCAAGAGGTTTAAGTCCTTCATCAAGCTTATACAGAATCTTATTCTGCAAATTAGTGACTAATCTGTCCAGATTCTTTAACTGTGCATCGTAATCACCCTCCTCTCTAGACTCAGTCGCATACTTCTTAACTCTACAAAAAAAACAAGAAAATCTCAGTACATTAAGATTATACAAACAAAGAGATAAAGAGAGACGTACTATTATTTATTACACACCGTATCTTGAGACGAGCATGCTTCGTTCCACCCTCAGCTTACGGCATCAACAAGAACCTTCTTAGATCCTTTCTTCGGATTCACGTAACAAACGCGTACTCGTCGGACTCGTTCCATCCCTCCATCCCAACCTCGCCAAGATTCCACAAACTCGAGCATAGAATCCTAAACCCTAGAAAGAACGTATAATATTCACTAAACCTTTAGTAGGAGTGGAAGCGAGAGCGTCTTTGGCCAACGCAGGCCGTCCCATTGCGACGAAAGTAGCGTGAACTACGAATTCGACTTTGTGGTTGTTGTTGCGAAAACGTGGACGAGATGATCTGATCACAAGCATTAGCTTCTGTGAATTCGCCATGGAGAGACCTAGGGAACTTACGTGTGTAGCAAGGCAAATTCTCGAGAATAACCAATCGAGGGACCCAAGAGCATCGAACCGTATACATATAAATACTAGTTTAAAAAACATCATAGAATATTGGGCCTACGTCGAAATAAGTTTGGGCTTCTCTAAATAAGAAAAATTAAAAATAATTGCACCAGCCGGGAATCGAACCCGGGTCTGTACCGTGGCAGGGTACTATTCTACCACTAGACCACTGGTGCTAACTGATCAGTTTACAGATATACAATATAAAGTAGGTATGTTAATTTCTTCTTTTTTACATGAAAGTTCATTTGCAATTCCAACATTTTAATAGATATACTTAAGAATTATAGAATGAATTAATTTTTTCATATGAAACTGATACTTATCCTGTGTATGTTTACAAGGTTGATGATACCATGGATTTTATTCGTCCGGTCGAGTGGGTTCGACCTGCTCCGTTTGATAATGTAAAAATTGTAAGGTAATGATGACATATCTTGACTACTTCAACCAAATATGTTGTATTAACATGTGTTTCTTATGACCCATTTAATTTCTATTATTCATCAGTGCATAACAGCACATTCACTTATAAAAACCTTAGAATTATTTTAAAGAAACAATTTTATTTTTAAATAATTGTCATATTATTATTTTTAATTAAAAATTACTAAATGAAATACAAGTGTTGTTTAGGATTTTCATAAGTATTTTAATATTTATGAGAATTCTCTCTCTTTTATGTTTTTATTTTTCTTTTTAATTTTTAGATATTATTTAAAAATCTATAAATGAAAATATTACCACATAACATCTTTACAGCTTAGTGGAAGAAGTTTAAAAGTCTTTTCAATCAAATATCATATGAAATCTGATCTTGTCCCGTTTTCAAACAAGGATAAAAGTGAACAGTTTTAAGAGTATTTGATCACAATTTGGACAGGGAAACGGCCTGTTATTAAAGGAACAACTGAATCTCTAAGGTATAATATAAATTCGAAAAAGAAAAAAAACAATTAAGCACGATCATCATGTGCTATTTATTCTTCTTTTGGACAAAAAGAAAGGATTCTTGAACGGCTTGTTGTTAAAGCATGCATGCACCATACGTATTTTGAGTTTCCCTTCGCAGGGTATAATCTTATTGGTGGTCCTATCTCTAGAGGCTAGAGCATAAACACGTTTGTTGTATGTGGTGGTCATAAAAGGACATGAAATCCAGATGGTGATATTTCAACACCCACAAATTGACGAGTTAATTAGATTACCATGCCCGGTTTAAGTATTGCGAACCACTAATGATTGATTAAATTTAGCTTGTAACATTTATTATGAACTGTTGTGAGAAAATAAGACTCATACAAAACGAAGCATTGAGTAGACAGTAGTAGTTAATCACTTCTTCGGTTCCATCATAAACTGTAGACATTATTTATGAACCATATATTAAAAAGGGAAATATATAGCTTGTCAGAAGATATCTTCTCTGAGTGTTTATAAACCTCAATCCAACCGTGACTAAGAAGTAACAAGGGTATTCGAATTTTAAAATTCATTTGTTCAATGGTTTTATAATTTCTTTCGATTACATTTAAAATGAAACATTATATATAGTCTATGTATAAGTTAAATATGTAAAAAAAAAAACGAAAGAACGTAAACAAAATATTCTATTTTTGTAAATTTAAATTAAAAATACCAGTATGATAATCCATGATCTGACTCGTCTAACGTAGTATCCATTCTTTTTTTATTTTCTAGTTTTTTTTTTTAAATGGTTTATTGTCATAGCTAGATAATGATAATAAGTCAATGGTGGTCGCAGCACTATGGGAAAAGGTAATCCACTTTCCTCAACAATAGCCTCAGATTTCCATTAGTTCATCATACATGATAAGAGTTGACTCTTAATTCGAACATTAATTGTCTTTAATTATTGTTATTATTATTTTTGATCAATAATTGTCTTTAATAACTATTGGAATTATCAGTTAAATATTCAAGATATGTGAATGGTGTATTTGGTTCTGGTACATCCACTAAAGATTCACAACTTTTCTCCTGGCAATGATCACCAATAAGCTAGCCACAGCCAATTGAAACTCATTAATTAAAATTTGAGTTGATCTTCTCATTCCCTAACCACATAACTATATGACAACTCCTTCTTTCTAGAAAAAAGCCATGTAGATCAATCTAGAAGTAGAGAGCAATGATCGTATAATGTCATTTATTTGGATGGTGGTTACAGTATTAAGCATAACTGACCCCCTAATTAATTAACATGTGGTTATTACTGCTATAGTTGGAGTTATATGATTATGCTTAAGTGTGTCTCTTCCTTCTTTTTTTACTTTCTCGTGAGTGCTTATAGACTTATAGTTGTACTGGAGTACAATTTTGATCGTGTAACACATGGTGGTAGTACTTTTTCAAAAAAAAAAATACATGGTGGTAGTGGTCAACAACACTATTAATAGATGAGATCAAGTGTGATTAAAAAGTTATTTTCAAATGTGGGTGCATAACGTTTGTCATTTCTGAATTTTAGGTATGATCTCAAGAAGGTACGTAAGGGAGCTCAGAAACGATGACACATCAATAGTTAATCTTACCTATTTTTTGGTTAATATTTACCTAATAAAGATTTTCTTTCTACTTCTCAAACTAAGAGTTGAGATTATTTTGAAAGAATTTTAAATAAAATAGAACTTTGGTTTTAGAACTCGTCAACTAAACAATGAAAATAGTTGTTTTATTGAATTGATATTAGTTTTACAAGTTCTCCAAGAGTTTGTAGATATTAGGAAACAGATCCTAGAGGGCTGCAAGCCTGCAAGAGGCTTTTGGACCAAAAAATTTGGTGCTTTGGAATCATTTGAGTAAGAAGTTTGTGTAAGGCATTAATAATGTGTTGGTGATTTTCAGTAGACTCCTAAAAGTATTTGGTCTTGGTGGTACGTAGCCAAGAGGGAGCTGTCTCTAAATAGAAACAACGAGAGAATATTTACACTATAGGCATCAAACCACATGATATGAAATTTTCTTAGAATCTATATATAAGATTCTTGTAAATATTTGCAGAATGAGAAATGCATACTAAGTTTTTTTTTTTGAATTATGACTATCACTTTATCTTTGGCTTCACTTTCCGCTGGAGTGTCATCAGATTTTTCTTGTTTAATAATCTCTGTAATTCATGAATTTGAAGTTTCTTAAGTCTCCATCTCTCTTTCAATTGGTAAAATTGTCCTTCTTTCTTTTTTTGGTCCAATTCGTTAGGCAAATGGAAATATATAATTCTAGCTCTTCTGAACTTTGGAGCTAATGGAAATCTCAACTTCATTTATGGGACACCTTTGGTCCACAAACCACACAAGTTACAATCTGAAAGTGACCATTTTAAAAAGACGACTACCATATCACGCCAAGATTTGTACTTATCTGTGTGTAACCAAAAAACTTCACTATCATTTACTTCCTTGTATGATTGTATAGACGTTACACTAAAAGCTAAAGATATAGTCGCAAAATGGAAAACTCCAGTGAAAATAAATTTTAGCTACTTAATTATATATTTATTAACGAGCGGGAATAGTAGCTAAGTTTTACACTATTTTTTCCAACTTAGCGTGTCTTTATGTGGTAAATTCCATTGAAAGAATTTGACCAAAAAAAAAATTCCATTGAAAGAATCTTGAAGCACTAAGCAAGAAGTGTCAACATAGCGAATGTTATCCATTATAAAGAGAACCAAGCTTGCTTCTCCACAAACACATCACTCATAAACAACCCTCTCACTCCCTCTCAATCATTAAGACAGAAAATTATGGAGCACAACAAGGTTGATACAAAGCTTCAAGATTCATACGATGATCAACAAAAATGGGTTCTTGACTCTTCTCTCGATAGTAGAGGAGAGACTCCGGTTCGGGCTAAAACCGGAGCTTGGAGAGCTGCACTCTTCATCATTGGTATGCATATCAAACTTTGTCAAGAGATCCTTGGTAATTGGTATGAGATATTTACATTATAATCTTATGGTTTGATATATGTGTACATGCAGCATTCGAGTTCAGTGAGAGGCTAAGTTATTTTGGGATCGTCACGAGCTTAGTGGTCTACTTAACGACCATTCTTCACCAAGATCTGAAGATGGCTGTAAGAAATGCAAACTACTGGTCTGGTGTCACTACTTTGATGCCTCTTCTTGGAGGCTTCGTCGCGGATGCTTATCTCGGCCGTTTTGCAACTGCGCTACTTGCAACTATCATCTACCTTATGGTAATAACTTCGACTGATTCAATTTTTATTTTATTTTTGTGAAAAAGCTATAGTAAGATTTATATACATTTTCTTAAGATATTTTGTTGTTTTTCTTTAAATACTGATGCATTCAAACAAACTTCCGATTTAAATTTTCTTGGGGTCCTTATTTTATATAAATCTTGTAACACATCAAAATATTTCTGATATATTTTCACGAAGTTTTTTAAGTATTTTGAGATCCGTCAAAGCTAAATTTTTTTCTCTTATATTCCTATCTTTGTTGATTTTTTTGAATATTATTGCTATATACAGGGTTTGATTCTATTAACACTGTCTTGGTATATACCGGGATTGAAAGCTTGTCATGAAGAAATGTGTGTTGAGCCAAGGAAAGCCCACGAAATAGCATTCTTCATTGCAATCTACTTGATCTCCATAGGCACTGGAGGTCATAAGCCATCCCTTGAGAGCTTTGGAGCTGACCAATTCGAAGATGACCATCCTGAAGAACGATTGATGAAGATGTCTTACTTTAATTGGTGGAGCACTGGTCTTTGCGCTGGTGTTTTAACCGCGGTGACTGTGATCGTCTATATAGAAGACCGTATTGGTTGGGGTGTGGCTGGTATCATACTTACCGTAGTCATGTCTACATCGCTTTTGATCTTCCTTATTGGTAGACCGTTCTATCGTTATCGAGCACCTACTGGTAGCCCATTGACCCCGATGTTGCAAGTCTTTGTTGCTGCCATTTCCAAAAGACATCTTTCTTGTCCAAATGATTCTTCTCGTCTTCATGAGTTGTCTAGAGAAGAGTACACTAAGGGACGGTTTCTTACCAGCACAAACAATCTTAGGTAAGTTCATTAATGCAAGTTACAGTTATATATTTATTCAATTCCGGTTTAGGTTCGATTCGGTTATCTATTAATAATAACAATCTCAATCAATGTTTTTTTTTTTTTTTTTTGGTCAATCTCAATCAATGTTAAAAGTTGTGTTTTTTCATTCTAAAAATTCGGTCTGGTTATTAAATAATAATAGTAAACAAAGTAAATTATAATATACCAATTTATGTATTTAGATATCTGATTAGTTTTTCTTTAATTTATCTAACAAAATGGTGTTGAAAAAAATATACATGTTTATCTGAATTATGTTTGTTTTTTCAAATACACAATCTAGTTTAAAATAATATATACTATACATGATAAATTTTTGTTATACTAAATCCGTTTGGATTTAAACGGATTCAGTTTCGTTTTTAACTTTTATGCATATCTGAACTTAGTTTTTTTTTTCCATTTGGTTTATTTCCAAACTAAGCACTTCATATTCAACTATAACCTATCAAGTTTCTTTTGTATCCATCCATGGAACTAATTTCTATACGGTTTTGCAGATTTTTAGATAAAGCAGCGATTATCGAAAACAAAGAAAGCGAGAATGCTATGGCTGAGAAGGAGAGTCCATGGAAACTCGCAACGGTAACAAAAGTAGAAGAACTAAAGCTACTCATCAACATGATTCCAATCTGGTTCTTTACATTAGCCTTTGGCATATGCGCCACTCAAGGCACAACATTCTTCATCAAACAAGCCATTATCATGGACCGACATATCGGTCACAGCTTCATAGTTCCTCCATCTTCTATGTTCGCTCTCGTAGCTCTCTCCATGATAACCTCCTTAACACTCTACGAGAAACTTCTCGTGCCTCTCTTGAGACGCATCACGGGAAACGAAAGAGGTATTAGCATTCTACAAAGAATCGGAACCGGTATGGTTTTCTCCTTAATAACCATGGTCATTGCTGCTCTAGTAGAGAGAAAAAGATTGGATTATACTAAGCAACATCACATGACCATGAGTGTTATATGGTTAGCTCCTCAGTTCATAGTTATAGGTATAGCGGACGCTTTGACTCTTGTGGGTCTTCAAGAGTATTTCTACGACCAAGTCCCTGATTCAATGAGAGGTTTAGGCATAGCCTTTTACCTTAGTGTGATTGGAGCGGCTAGCTTTGTCAACAATATTTTGATGACGGTTACTGATCATTTAGCTGAGGTAATATCTGGGAAGAGCTTGTTCGGAAAAGATCTTAATAGCAGCCGCTTGGACCGTTTTTATTGGACGCTAGCCGCTTTGACCGCTGTAAATATATGCTTCTTTGTGATTGTAGCCAAAAGGTATACTTATAAGAGTGTGCAATCAAGTCTGGCTGTTGCTGACGGTGGTGATGACGTTGAGGCAGCCTCGGTGGGTAATAATACGTCAAAGCATACGTAACATGCATCGCTATAGATTTGGTCATATGGCGACCATTTTATGTAATTTTTGCATGTTTGTTGTTGTACTTTTGTTAAGTGTTTTCGTACTCTTATTTATTTAGTGTGACGTATAGATCGATATGTAATATACTGATATTGACTTATTCGAAATGTGGACATAAAAACCAAACTTAAAAACTTTAAAATGATTTTATTCTAGTTTTAAAACCAACCACACATAAATTTATGGATATACTTTTAAATAATATCTATATGCTCTAAACGTTAATTGTCAGTGTAAATATATTTTTAACCTCTCTAATTTTATTATATTGATAAAGTTTAATTCACTCTTCAAAAAATTTCACTGTTCAATGATCACAATAAGAAGAATTAACTTAGACCACTGCAATCCACATCTATCTGTTTCTTCAAGAATAAAATTAACTCTATTACATAAATGAGTTTTACTCCAATGTATAACTAAAGAATTTTATTTTTAAGCACATACATTTGCGAAAAAATCATATCTATAATTATATTTTGATAGAAAAAAATAGAGGTGGATGGAGGGAGGTACTTTTGGAAACTAAATTTTAAAAGGTGAAAAGTACAAAGTAAAAACAACTCAAAAAGAGAAAAAAAAAAAAAAAAGAATAACACGAGGCTCGAATTTTAAATTCGAATTTTAAGCATACGACAGCGTTTTCAAGTTATATGTCAACAGTGAGTGCTTCACCTTTCTTATTACCCAATAAACCCTTTTTCTCCTCCCTTCTCAAACAAACAGAGGTTTAAGGGTTTTTCTCTCTTAGGGTTTCCCTTCTCTCCAAAATTCTCAATCGCAAAGATCTCTTTTCAATTGATGCGACTTCTGCATCCCAATTCCTCTGACCCAGATTCAAAGAAATGACTATGGAAGCTCGAGTCGGTGTAGTAGTTGAAGGAGGACAGAGGGCTCTTCACACAGCCACCGCCGTTAATAACACCGTCGCAGACGCCGCCGGAAACAGGAAACTTTTACAGCAACAACAACCTCAAACATGCCAACAGCAAAGTAGTAAACCGTCGCTGAATCAGAAACAGGGCGGATCCATTTCTCATCTCGTCGCCGGCGGAATCTCCGGCGCTTTCGCTAAGACCTGCACCGCTCCTCTCGCTCGTCTCACCATCTTGTTTCAGGTATAAAGTCGTAAGGATCGTAAAGGTGGAAACTTTATGAAGAGTTTTGGAGTTATTAGTTTTAAAGGTTAAAACTTTTAGGAAGAATTGTAAGTTATGAGTTTAAAGGTGAAAACTTTATGAAGAGTTTTGGAGTTATGAGTTTAAAGTTGGAGACTTTATGAAGAGTTTTGGAGTTATGAGTTTAAAGTTGGAGACTTTAGGAAGGGTTTTGGAGTTATGAGTTTAAAGTTGGAGACTTTATGAAGAGTTTTGGAGTTATGAGTTTAAAGTTGGAGACCTTAGGAAGGGTTTTGGAGTTATTAGTTTAAAGGTGGAGACTTTATTGTTTACCCATAAACATGAATGATGCGTGAGGGGTGACGAATGGCATGACAGGTTGTTTTTTTTTGTTGTTGTTGTTGTTGGTAGATACAAGGGATGCAATCGGAGACTGCGATTTTGAGTAGTCCTAGCATTTGGCGTGAAGCGTCACGTATTGTTAATGAGGAAGGTTTTAGAGCTTTCTGGAAAGGAAACTTGGTTACTGTTGCTCATCGGGTTCCTTATTCTGCAGTTAACTTCTACGCTTATGAAGAATACAATACTGTGAGTTGGATTCGTCTCTTTATTTTAGAGTGTGGTGTATAATAACTAGCTCGTTCATGCTAATCTGTCCTTGTTTTTAATATATATATTTTTTTTAATTTGCAGCTATTTTACTCGAATCCAGTGTTGAAGAGGTATAAAGGAAATGCAAGTTTGGATGTTTTAGTGCATTTTGTAAGTGGTGGCTTAGCTGGGATGACAGCTGCTTCAGCTACTTACCCTCTTGATCTTGTTAGGACACGACTTTCTGCTCAGGTAAATTGTGAACTTTTATTAAGATGAAAGGTGATGTTATATACTTATTCTAAGGTTTTGCTAGACCTAATCTGTTTTTTTTTTTTAACTTCCCTTTGCCTGAATGCGTTATATTTGATATTTTTTTTGCAGAGAAGCTCAATGTATTATCAGGGTGTTGGGCATGCTTTCCGTACCATTTGTAGAGAAGAGGGGTTTTGGGGTCTATATAAAGGACTTGGTGCAACTTTGTTGGTACGCGTTTTCTGTTAACGATCCGTGTTTGATTCTTAACTCCTTCTTGGCAGTGTTAAAATGGTCAGTATTGGTAGCATTAAACCAATACTTCCCACTATGATTTTTCCTAGGCTGCTACGGTAGATGGGTGTCTCTTCGATGATCTAAGTGTCTAATAACTGATCTGGTAATTGTAGGCACTTAAATTAATGGACGTACATGCACTATGCACTAGGCATTCTTGTTGCATGTAAGCTGTTCAGTTAAGAAAATAGAAATGATTCGTTTGATGCATTTCTTGCTCATTGTCAAATTGTGGAAGATATTGACGTAAATGTGAGACTTACAAAATAATTTAAGAAACAACCAAGAAGAATGATGTATCCGAGGCTAGAGAATTTAATAGATCTAAAATTGCAAGCCGGATGATGATTAAATTAAGGTTCTTAATTTGGTATGGATAAATAACAAATCATACTAAAGAAAGAACAAGTAGGTAAATAATGTTATTCTACATCTAAGGATATACTATTAGTTGATGAAGCTATGTTATTATACGTGTTTTGTATTGCAGGGTGTTGGTCCGAGCCTTGCAATCAGCTTCTCAGCATATAACTCTCTTAGAACATCATGGCTATCTCATAGGTAAGAGGCTTCTTTGATTTGGGATTTGACTTTCTATACTGCCTAGTGAGTTTGTTTGTCCAATATTAACTCATCCTATTTTAATATTTTTCTTCTTCAAAACCTTATTCAGGCCTAATGATTCAGAAGTTATGGTTAGTCTTAGCTGTGGCAGTCTCTCTGGAATTGCTTCCTCAACAGGTTTGTTATGAATAAAAGATGATCCATGGCTTTCTTTTTGGTGTATGCATTACATGAAAATTATTAGACTATACCCAATCTAACTTTTGTAGCGACATTCCCGGTGGACCTGGTGAGAAGAAGAATGCAGTTAGAAGGAGCTGGTGGGCGAGCTCGAGTTTATAAAACGGGTCTCCTTGGAACATTCAAACATATATTTAAAGCAGAAGGGATGAGAGGGCTATACAGAGGAATCTTACCAGAATACTACAAAGTGGCTCCTGGTGTTGGCATTGCCTTCATGGCATATGAGAAACTGAAGAAGCTATTATCCCCTGTCCCGAATTAGCAGTCTCACACGCTCTAGTGTAAGGTGCTTGATAGAGTTTGGAGAAGATGAAACAGATAGTCTTTGATGGTAGTTTTTTCTTTTTACTTTCCAGTGTATAGTAGATGCAGTTTAAGGTGTTAGGTTACAGCTTCTTCCTCTATTTGCATCGCTCGAGATAGCAATTTTGCCTTGGTCAAGGGCTCTTAACATTAATCCAAGCTCTGTGCTCGTTTATGAATCCTTAATATATATGTATCAACGATGTTTCATTTGAGAATTGAGATCATATGCATGACCGTGGGCTAACACTCATATTATAAGATTTTATTGTGGAACCAATATCTCAACATACAATAGAAACAATTGATTAGCGTGACAACAAAGAGAATGGTACAAGTCCCTCTGGATATTTAATATCCAAAAGAATCAAGAATCAGGTCTTTTCTTCTGTAGCTGTACAAACAAATGGTTACTTTTACAAACACAGAACAAAACAAACAAGAAAAAAAAAACATTTTGGATTTGTTTGTTCCCACCCCCTCTCATGGTTTCTGAGGACCTGAAGTTCTTTTATGTGACTGTAGGTGTTTTAATCTGCTTATGAGTGCATCTATATATGTTCTGATTCTATACCTTACTGAGTTTGTGAGTGTTAGAGGTGGATTTAGAATCAGTGTTTGCGCCTCCACTACAAGGAAGACTAGTAAGCGCACAGCTTTTGAGTAAAGGTTTACTGCGTTCTCTGCCTCTCCCATCACCACCTCATCTACCTGCAAAAGTCAAAGTCTCAGGTCTCAATTCAATCAGTTTAGGATTTGATCATAAGAGAGGCAAAAGAAACTTACTCCTCCACGTATGCCAATAACAAGAGCTGCTTGGAATATTATCTCCATTGCATCAGGCATCTTTGTATTGCCTACAATCATTTTCTCTTTAGTTCAATAACTCTGATTAATCGAAAAAGAAACAGATTTGTTTCAATAGTTTTATTCTTAAAGCAAACGCATACCAGATTCAGCAAACTTGGCAAGTTCTTCAGCACGCTCAACCTCCAAGACAAACTCTCTCTGAATCTGAGACAATATTTTCCCTGATCCTTCTTGGCTAATATTTCTTCTTACTCTGTTACCATCTTGGCGCAGGCTTCCTTCTACACCAGAGGCTGCCTGAGTATGACAGATGTGCAGTGCTTGATTCCAAATTGCAAGAATCACCAGTTGAATTGAGAAAGCTTCTAACTGTTTACCTGATTCAACCTATGCAGAGAAGCATGGAAGACTCAGAAACTCACGTTGAGAAAGTTTGTGTAACTATTGAGAGTTGCTTACCTTTTCACGAACCAATTCTGCAATCGTCGCTGCACACTTTTGTAAAGATCGTATTCTTGTCAAGCTGTTAGTTGATGGCTGTTCAAAAGCTTCCACAAGGTTCAGAGAATTTGGACTCTCCAAGCTTTCAAACCGACCAGTGTTCCTACCAGTGGCACCAGCTATTGGCATAGGAGCCGTTGAACTAGTAACGTTTCTTTTAATGAACTCTACAGGAGGAGAATGTGATTTGAATGGGTAATTGAAAAGCTTTGGAGAACCAGATGAAGATGATGGTATATCCACTGATGGTCCAGATATCAGAACATAATCTTGATCTATTGAGTCTGGTGTATCCCCTACGGTAAAAGCGAGACAACTTTTAAACAAAACAATTATTAATCTAGTGGTAAGAAAATGATAGAAGTGCAGTTACCTCTTCCTTGAGTACTAAGTGATCTGGAATCAGGCAAGCTTGAGGGTTTGAATTGATTTCTATCTATTAATCTATGGCTTTCGAACTTTAAGTTATTGGTAGTATCTGCTGTATGACTAACTCTACTATATCTGGAATTAAGTTCCATGTTTTTCAAAGGACTAGATGCTGCCTCCCTTCTCTCAACACTAAATCCATAAGATGACTTCATTGGAGAAGTATGTTTATTAATATATGAAGGGCTTCCCTCAGGTTCACTAGAATCATCATCTAAAAAGAAAGGCAAAGAGTCATCATGAGAAACTTCTTCAGTTTTTCCTGAGGGACTGCTTCCAGATGAATGAAAACCATCCATCGCTCTTGAACCTGATCTACTCCTGCAACATAAAAATCATTATCCGTACAACAGTTTTAACTATGAATGATAGAAGATGATAGTTTATCCCAAGCATTAACCTTGGCACATCGTATGGTTGTCTATTTGAAAGAAAAGGGTGGTGAAAGAATTCTTCAAACGTCAAACGTTCCACTGTGTAACAAAAACATTCCAAAAATAAATGAATGTTAAAACACAAACAGACACAGAGTCACAGACCATCAAAAATCTTAAGTGTCACTAACACATCATTATCCAGAGTTTTTAACAAAACCCCAACTTGCATGCATGGGACGAGAAATGGAAGCAATGGTCATTTGATGGCCCTGACTATGCTAACAGAATCAGAGTTTTGTTCACACAAATGTTTACCAGGATTACGGCGCAGTAATTTCTGACATAGATCTTTACAGTCAGTAGTCAAATCTTTACAGTCTACTGGAAACTGCAACCCAGTTGATCTCATAATGTTCTGGAACAACTGTGGAAATCAGACGAAGAACATGTTAGACAATGATGCATTCACCATACATATAAATATTAGAAATTAATGGCACTTGTTGGTGAACAAAACCTGAACTTGGCTGTTTCCTGTAAAAGGGGTTCTGCCTGTCACAAGTTGAAATAAAATAGCACCAACACTCCAGAGATCTGCCTGTGTATCAAGGGAGATTTTAAGCAGGATATATTATAGGACAGGGCTAGGTGGCTTCTTGAGAAACCAAGTCGCACCTTTGCATCATACTTCTGAAGCTGCATAATCTCTGGGGCCATATACAATGGGGAACCACATAAAGTTTCTGCCAAACCCCTAGGCTGCAACGATCTGAGCTAAGAAAGTGTGATGTTTAAGTGCAAATTACAAACTCAAAGTATCTAACAAACATACTCTCACAGTCAAAAGAAAGGCAATTAATTACCTAAGTCTAGAGAGCCTAAATACAAGAAAAGCAGAACGAGGCCATATAAGACCAACTCTAGTCATCACATTAAACTTAGTTATTTCTGTAACAAAGGAGCTGATGAGAATACCTTGCAAATCCAAAATCAGCAATCTTCAGAGCTGCATCATTATCATCTGTGGATAGAAGAAGATTCTGTTTCAAGAACGAAAGAACCTTAGCAATTGAATTTCAGTTTACACAAAATCTCTATCTATACTAGGGCAAGAAAAATCTCGGAAAGGATATCCTGTGAGAACGAATAAAACGAGTTCTTCAAGTGACTAACTTCTACGAAGGAGCTCTCACGCTATGTCATGATCTTTAACTGAAAATATAAGATCATTCATGGGTATGAGATGAGAATCAGACATACCTGAGGCTTTAAATCTCGGTGAATGATGTTGTTGTCACGAAGAACTTGCAAACCAGCAGCTATAACATAAAAAAAAATACATTTAAGAGTGAGAATGCAAACAGAGAGTAAGGTAGAACTCTTTTGTAAAAAAATTACCTAACTGCTGCATGAAATGCTTAGCAGTAACATCAGGGATTTTTCCATGACGCTGAATAAAAATAGACAGATCACCCCCTTTGCAGTACTCCAACACCACATTTATTTTCCCTGGAGCCTACATCAAATTTCAAAAAAAAAAAAAAACAGAGAACAATCCTCTAGCAATCAAAACCCATTCATACTCAGAGCATATACAATTTCCAACACAAATCATCATCAGCCTCTAACATCGTCTACGGAGTTCAAAAGTGATAACTTTCACAAAAATTAAGATATTTTTTAGACTTTCCACCACACCAACAAGAAGAATATCAAGAAACAAAGAAGCTCAGTTCCCATTTTTTTGTCTCTGGAGTTCAAACGTAGGCTAAGCATCTGAATCTGTCAAGAGCCATTCGCACTCTAAGCAATGATCAATTACAAAACAAACTATCATCATCCTATCTCATTCTACTATTTTTACTAAGACAACCAAAGAGAATTAAAGACAAATTACTAAAAATCGAACACAAAACATAGGAGCATATACAATTTTCAAACACAAATCATCATCAGCCTCCTCCTACATAGTTTACGGAGTTCAAAAGAATGCTAAGCATCTGAACTCAACAAGGGCCACTCACATTCTAAGCAATGACCAATTCCCAATACATACTATCATCAGCCATTACCATCTACAGAGTTCAAAGTTGCTAATTTTTCACAATTTTAAGAAACAAAACAAGCTCAAAGGTGGGAGCTTTATACGAGCTAACAACATCCACAATCAAGTCGATAAGAAAAATGAAAAAAATTAGAAAAAAAACAGCAAGAAGAGAAAACACGGAACCTCGATCATGTCGATGAAGCGAATGATGTTGGGATGATTAATCTTCCTCAATATAAAAATCTCAGACATGAGACTATCTTGCAACTTCTTATTAAGCCTATCCATAGCGATCTCCTTGATTGCTACCACGTTCCCATTTACAAGATGCCTCCCTTCCCACACCACCGAAAACGAACCCGACCCGATTTGTCGCCCCACCGCGTAATCCCCGATCACCCTCCCGCTCCTCTCCGCCGCCGCCAACTGAGCCATTTATTTATTTTCTCCGGCGCCAAGAAAATCTAGATCCGAAGTTGAGTATATAATTTTGAAAAAATTGGATAAGGAGATGATTTCAATTGGGCGTAGTATTCATCAGACAAATGATGATGAGAAAGAGAGAGAGAGAGAGAGATGGTTTAGTTTGAATTGATTTAAAGTTTTTATTACTATTATATAACAAAGACAAGAGAATCAACTTGTAATGAAATCAAAGACGCTTCTGATATATACGATAAAGATACCCAGCATTATTATCTCTACTAATTATATTCTTTAATTACGTATTAGTGGTATGAGATTACGATTGTTGACAGGTTTCTTTATTTAATCATTGCTGTTTCTTGATTTGTGATCAGTTTAAATGTCCGTTTTAAATCTAATTGATACTACAATTTTTGAAAATGTAAATTACGTTTTTTGATTTAAGTGTCGGTTAGAAACTGTCAGTAAAAAAATGGTCGTTAGAAAGGTGAGGTGTAAACGTTTTAAATGAAGTGTGAAGATGGGATTACGTGTATGATTAAATACAAAAAAAAAGGTGGCGTAAGCAGTATACACGAATTTTTTTTTTTTAATGTAGGGGTCTAAGCCATTATAGCGTGCCGTTGTAAAAAGCCCACCACTAGCTTTTGATTGTGACTGGCCGCCATTACTATGAATATTTTCAGCCATTGATTTCTTTCCATTATTCTTACGTTTAGTTTCAAATTGGCAAGTAAAATACTCGATTAGGCCTACGACTTCGGTTTTCCGAAACCGAACCAAACCGTCGGTTTTTGGTTAACCAAAATTATAAAAAAAATTCTGAAATAAACCGAATGAAATTTCGGTTTGGTTCGGTTATCGGTTTATTTCGGTTATTAATTTTATTTCCGAAATAACCGAATTTTTAAGTTTTTGGTTAACTTTGGTATAATTTTTCCAAAATATTCGGATATTTTCGGTTAAATTCGGTTATTTTCGGGTCATTCGATTATTTTCGGTTCGGTTTTTCGGTTATTTTCGGATATTTTCGGTTATTTTCGGTTTTTAACATTTTTAATTATTCTTTTGAAGATCGAAAAACCGAATTAATTTTTAAAACCATACCGAACTGAACCGAAATGAAAACCGAACCGAACCGAAAACCAAAAAAAAAACCGGTTCGGTCCGGTTCGGTCCGGTTCAGCCCATTCGGTTCGGACAAAAATCCCAGGCCTATACTCGATGATGGCAATAAAGGTCTTATTAGGTTCGAATCTAGAACATGGCATTTGCAAACTTAAGAGTTAACACGTGAATGTGGCCTTACTACGGATTTGTCATTTGTTGTACCAGTTACATGTTAAGTACGTTACATATGATCAGATGAATCAAAGTTGTAACCTACAACACGTAGTAGAATATTCAGAATCTTTGAATTCGATTCCAATTATGCATTTAATTATTTTATTTTGCAATACATCCTGGTTTGGTTATTTCTTATTTCAACTTTTTTTTGTGTGTGGAACCATCTATGCACTTTTCCGCATGGCCTGACTCTTAATTGGGCTATACATTTTCTCCTCACGGCCGTACTCTCAATATTTTGGGCCCAACAGAGTGGTTGATATAACCAACTACAAAAAAAGAAAAATCATATGCATCTAAACTGTCATTTGAAAAATGATAAATTATATACGAATTCAACTAACAAAATTATTCGATCTGGCGGAAAGGCAAAACACACTTAAAATTTCCACATGCGCACAGATCATTCGAACAACACATCCCATCAAAACTTTAAAGAATCAAATCTCAAATTTCAATCATGTTTGTTTTTGATCCCATCTTCTCTCTCTCTCTTTATATAAACCCCTTTCACATATTTCTCTCTCGTACATATCAAAATGACATTCCCAAGAGTTTTGGGGTCAGTAATGTGATAAAAGATAAGGAGAGGAATGATATATATATGTGCACATAAAAAATGGAGAAATTCTTGAAGCTGGTGCAATCATTTGTGTTTGTTTGGGCTTTCATCTTGCTGGTGGTTCTCGTATGTTGCTGCATCAGCACCAAACCTGATCGGGAAAACGATGACGATGCTAGCTGTGTTGGCTGTGACGGAGTTTAGGTAATCATCATCTATGTCTTCCTTTCATTCTTATTCTTTAATCCTCTGTGGTGTTAAGGTGTTTTGTAGAGAATTATGCACACATATGGCCATATGGGTTATCTTTTTCATTTAATTTGTTGTTCATCTTCTTCAGTATTCAGGGTCAGCCGAGATTTTGGAGTTCTAGACAATTTGTTAAAAATTTCAATAAGCTTTTTTTTTATATTAATTTTGAGGATCAGAAACAAATGTTTCATTTGGATTTGTGGAAAACCGGTATTGTCAATATTCATTTCTTGTACAAGTTGTATATTAGAGAAATATTGTAACATTAACTTTTGTATATGCTTTTGATGATGTGAGGTCAACAAGACAGACCTCGGCGTCTTCACTCATGCGATATTGTACTCGTTACTTCGTTAGTTCGTGTTCTTGTATCTTGAACATATACGAAACAACCTTTTCTCAAAAAAAACACATACACAAAACATGTCGTCAACTTAGTAATGAGAAAATAATTAATCAAGAACTCTTCAAAAGATTAATTTTGTATAAATCTACTCAGTTAATGATAGACTGAAGGTTATCAAGCAAACATCAATGTATACAGTATATGTTATGCACCCAAACGACGTCGTATTTTGGGAAAATTAGGCCAAATGACACCCCAAAAAACTATACTTTACTAACTAATCAAAACTTCATTTCTTATTTCTTTGCCTATCTATTTTTACTCTCTTACTACAATTTTTTTTTAAAGGTTATTTCATGAATAATCCTATTTATTTATTTAGTACTATGTATTTTGCCCGGACATTCGGGCTTAATTATCTTTAAATCAATTTAAAATATCATCAAAATAAATGATTATTTGCATTCAAAAAATTTGAACTAAAACATTAAACTTTTTTACATGATAAAATTATTCACAGACTGAAAAATTCTATTTTTCCTTTAACTTTGAAAAATCTGAAGTCTATTTTATTTCTTCTTAATTGATAAAAGTATAGAAATCTACCTTTCAATTTGAAAAATTGAATCGATAAATATTCATTCAAAAATTGATATTACAGAAAGAATTATATTAGTTTGGATAATAATACAATATATTTGAATTTATTTTTGTCAAACACGTGTTTTCTTTCTTTTTGAATGATATTTTATTTTATTATGATTAATTTATGTGTAAGGTTTAACTATATAAAATATAAAATAAAATTTAATTTAACGTGTGAGTTCAGAGGCAAAAAATAATTTCACAAATATATATCATTATATTCTATAATTATATTCTCTTAATTTGAATATAATTACATATTATAAATTTTCAATTTTCTCTTTTCAATTATATACAACTAAAAATTTTACTTTATGAATATTTGTTTATGTTTTTCTGTTTTTATTAAAATATATTTTTCGGATAACAACACAATATATATAGGAATTATCTTTTTATTTTATTTTTAAATATATATATATATAGATTATGGATAATTATTATCATTATTATTAATTTAAATTATTTATCTAATCAAATAAGTGTTAAATTTGTTTTTATTTTTGGTTGATTTATATATTTTATTCATTAGGTGTATAAACAATATTAACCGTTCTAACTTTCACGTGAAAACTCCTTTGCGAAAAATCACTTCGCAAATAATAGTATAGATACTCCGACTCCAATATCAAAAATAATTACGAAAGTGAAAAAAAGCATAGTCCAATACACATACGCACCAACAACAAAATAAAAAGGGAAAAAACAAATAAAAAAGTGTGGCAACGAACGAAACAGAGAGAGGGAGGAGGAGAGGTATAGACCATACAATACAGACTCTCACTATATCTATCTCCATCCTCTCTCTCTCTCTCTCTCACCCGTCAATGGCTTCCTTTAGTTCCTTCCCAATTCCAAAACAGGTCTTCTATATTACTTTCTTGCTGTCTCATGTATATTTATATATCCCCTCTCGCACTGATTTGTCCCTTTTGGATTAATAGATGGTTGGTTCCTCATCTACTTCTCGCCCACGTATCTTGGTGCGATCGAGTATGCCATCGTCGTCTATGGCCTCTACCAATAATATGCTGGTATCATCTCATCTTCTGCTTCTTTCCTTTTGAATCACATTCGAAATGTTAGAAACTGATATGCGAGTGATCAGGTTTTTGTACCTCCGCATCCTTTGATCAAACATTGGCTCTCTCTCTTCAGATGTGACCAAACTCATTTACCTATTTTTGGTGAGTACTCTCCAGATTTACTATCAAAATCTTGTATCTCTGTGTGTATATTAATTGATCTTTTCTGAGATGAATTTAGATGGCGCTAAGTGGCTGCAAATGAAATTGAGCAAAATGATTTAAAAAAAATTTCAGCAATTTCTCCTATATATTTGATCTTTTTACTGAACGTGACCTCTTGGTTTCTTGATTCTCCAGTTAGAATTGCATCGAGGTGGTCGTTCCTATCCTCAAGTAAAGAGGAAAGCAGATTCCACCAGGGAGATCATCCTCTAAAAGCATGTGGATGTGCTTCTGCAACTGCAGAAAATGTCTATGTAGAGCTCAAAGATCCAAAGGTGTGTGTACTTCCCTGCACATGGAACATTATTTTTCAAGCAAGTTCCTCTCTTGTTATTTTCATATTTTGTTGCAATGTTTTCAGGAAAGCATTGGCGTGGGTTTCGCTGGAGAACAAATGTCTTCTTCAGAGAAAGCCTTTTTATCTCGTAGCATGTTGCAATACAATTTACTAGGGAAGAACCTTTTAGCACTAGAGCAAACTTTTGTGGCCTTGGAGTCGTTAAGAATGGAAAGAGATATTATGTTGCAAATGAGGAAGTTGGGGGCTGCTGAGTTATTCAATACCTGTCTATCTAGGTCCCGAGGTTCTTCAACCACTTCTTGCTTACCTGACACAGGAACACCAGAGTTGGTGGATACTACAGAAGAACATCAAACCTTTGTGCCTTCAAGAAGGAAGTTGAGAAAGAAAGCAAGAAGGTCGAGTTTGATGACTGGAAACGGTGATCAGAGTTCTTCAACTATCAGTATTGATGTCCCTAAAGTGAGAAAACCATCAAAATATAGAAAGAAGAGAGGGAGGATATCTAGAAACGAGGCTGAGATGTCACAAGGAGTCAAGGTTCAGTGTGAAATAGTCCTCTTAACTGTTTTTTTTTAATCCGTTTGTTGTTTAGCAAGAAATTCTTATGACACTCTCATGTGGCTATTGAAGATAGTGGCGGACATGGAGAGGATCAGAACGAAACTGGAAGAGGAAAGTGGGAAGGTAGCGAGTATGAGCTCTTGGGCTGAAGCAGCAGGGATGAACGAGAAACTTTTGATGCGCAATCTACATTTCGGTTGGTACTGTAGAGATGAACTGGTGAAAAGCACCCGGTCTTTGGTTCTCTTCCTCGCTAGAAACTATCGTGGACTCGGGATTGCTCATGAAGATTTGATTCAGGTTCATCTTCTCTCCTTTTACAAGGTTTCATGAAGTTGCTTAGTTGGGTATTGAAACCTTAAAAGTTGTGATTGCAGTTCCATTGTTTCTAATGTTCTTGGTTGTGGGTTTCAGGCAGGGTATGTGGGGGTATTGCAAGGAGCAGAGAGGTTTGATCACACAAGGGGTTACAAGTTTTCGACGTATGTGCAGTATTGGATAAGGAAATCGATGTCCACGATGGTGTCACGGCATGCAAGAGGCGTCCATATTCCTGTTTGTGCATTTTATTCTTTAGTTTATTAACTTCTGTTTCATTTTCAACAAAGCTAAAGAATCTCACTTGTCTAATTTGATTGTTGTTGTTTATTTCGGCAGGCGTCAATAATCCGAACAATGAGTCAGATACAAAAGGCTCGTAAGACCTTGAAAACGAGCCAGGGGATAAAGTATCCGGCTGATGAGGAGCTTTCGAAACTAACAGGCTACTCGTTAAAGAAGATTAGAGCAGCTAACCAATGCCTAAAAGTGGTTGGTTCAATCGACAAGAAAGTTGGGGATTGCTTTACCACAAAGTTCCTGGTATGTCCTTTTGAAGCCTATAAACTGTGGATGTCATGTAATCCATGTGTGAAGGGTAGGGTGAAAATTAGATATTCTGTTTAGTTTGGTTCTGTCTTTGGTTTGTAGAAATGGATATCGAACCGAAGTTATGTTTTGTTCAGTAGGAAAATAAAAATACTGTTACCGTCAGGTTTTAAAAAATGAGTTGGTTCTGTGTATATTTAAGCTATTTTTGGCTTTGGTTTTGGCTTGGTTTGAGAGTGAACGTGTGTTCCCCATGTGTACGCAGGAGTTTACACCAGACACGACGATGGAGAGTCCAGAGGAAGCTGTGATGAGGCAGAGCGCAAGGAGAGAAGTACATAATCTTTTAGAAGGGCTAGAGGCTAGAGAGAAGCAAGTGATGGTTCTACGTTATGGTCTTCAAGACTATAGTCCCAAGTCCTTGGAAGAGATTGGGAAGCTTCTTAGGGTTAGCAAAGAAGGGATAAGGAAGATCGAACGGAGAGCAATGGCTAAACTCAGGGACCAACCCAAAGCAGACAACCTCAGATATTATTTGAATCAGTGAAAAAATGATAGAATTTTTGGAACCAATGGCTGGTGATTTGTAATAACATTGGAGTCTCATTGTGTGTAAAGTATTGTACATTTTATAATCATAAAGAAAGTAGAGATTTTACCCAAAGTAAAAAATATAACAGACAGTTACAAATCTTGGGTTTTATCCTGTAAAAGAGATTGATTTCAAACTTAATGTTACATCTGAAGTGAAGGCCTAAGCACTTGCACAAGCTTTTCATAGCCTCCACATCGTCTAGGAATGTATATATAAATTTATACATCAGAATACTAGTGAAATATACATGTGGGATTCGACCAAAAAAGTATATATGTGGGATCAGATCGTAGATTCATGTGATAACATATTACGGATACGAACCGGTGATTGCGGTCGAGTGGTAAAAAGACGGGATGAGACACCAACATATTTCATCTTCGATCTATTTGTTATGTGAAATTAAGTTTCAATTATTTTTAGATCTAATACGGATATAAATCCATGTTTTAGGGTCTATTTGAATATTCATAGAGAGATCTATTTTTAGGTTGTCCCTTTAAAAATTAGTCTAAATTTTTCTATGGGTCTGAAATACTCTTAGATTAATAAGAAAAAAAAGACATACTGTGGATAGAAGATATAAAAAAACTGTACAATTGAAGTCGCGGTAGAGAACCATACACAAACTAGATTTTGATCCGCGCTTGAAAAGCGCGGAAATTTTTTATGATTAAAATTTTATATAATTGGGTTTTGTCTTAATTTAAAGAATGTTTTGGTATAAAATTAGTTTACCAAAATTTATGGTGATAGTTGTTTTTCATTAGTTTTTAGTTTTAGTTTTTATTTTTAGATTTTGTTTTAAATTTTGATTTTTGGTTTTTAGTTTTTAAGTTTCTATTTTTGATTTTAAGCTTTTGGTTTGGGTTTTTAATTTTTAGACCCGCTGAGTTAGTTTGAACTGATATTACCAACAAACAAATCTCAATTAATCGAACATATAATTTAAAACTGAATAGATGAAAAAATAATTTTCTAAAAATTTTGAAATAGTTTATTTTGTAAATAAAAAAAACAAAAATATAACCTGTGTTTTCAGCTTTTGGTTTTGGATTTTAGCTTTTAGATTTGGTTTTTGGTTTTGCTTTACATTTTTTTTTAAATCTGTAAATTATTTAAGAAAGATAAAACAATAAATCATTTAAAAGTTACGATTAAAATTTATCAAGATAGAGTGATTGTTATTTAAAATAAAAAAATATTAACATATTTTAAAGTACATGATTTAAATAAGTGATTAATAATAGATAATTTTGTTTTTTTTTTTAAATATTAAATATTTTTTGGCTAAAAATTATTAACATGTTTTAAAGTACATGATTTAAATAAAGTGATTAATAATAAATAATTTTGTTTTGTTAAAAATATTAAATATTTTTGGGTCTGAAAATAGTAATTGATTTTTGATCAATTAAGGTGGAAAATTTATTTAATGTTTTTTGGAATTTTTGTTTAATATTAAGCCCAAAACCCAAACAATTAAATGTCATAAAAACAAAAGTAAGCCCAAAACTCTATTCCATAAATAACCGCCGGTTTAATTTAAGTAATGCGGTTCAATCAACTATATAACTTGTATTATTTGTAACACTCTAGAAAGGGTCCAAATTTAAATGACAATTTGTATCAGTAGATAAAAAGAATGACTCTATTCTAATAGAATAGACTAGATTTTGACCCGCGCTTGAAAGCGCGGAATTTTTTTATGATTAAAAATTTATATAATTGGGGTTTGTCTTAATTTAAAGAATATTTTGATATAAAATCAGTTCACCAAAATTTGTGGTGATAATTATTTTTCATTAGTTTTTAGTTTCAGTTTTTATTTTTAGATTTTGGTTTTGGTTTTTAGTTTTTAAGTTTCTACTTTTCATTTTCAGTTTTTGCTTTGGGTTTTTAATTTTTAAACCCGATGTGTTAGTTTGAATAAATATTACCAACAAACAAATCTCAAATAATCGAACATCTAATTTAAAACTGAAAAGATGATAACAATTTTTTTAAAAAAAAAATTGAAATAGTTTATTTTGTAAATAAACAAAGCAAAAAAAATAGAACATGTGTTTTCAGCTTTTGGTTTTGGATTTTAGTTTTTAAATTTGGTTTTTGGTTTTGCTTTACATTTTTTTAATCAATAAATTATTTAAGAAAAATAAAATAATAAATTATTTAAAAGTTACCATTGAAATTTATCAAAACAAAGTGATTGTTATTTAACATGTTTTAAAGTACATGATTTAAATAAATGGTTAATAATAGATAATTTTGTTTTGTTAAAAATATTAAATACCTTTTGGGTCTGAAAATAATAATTGATTTTTTGATCTTTTAAGGTGAAAAGTTTAATCAATGTTTTTGGAGTTTTTTCTTAATACTAAGGCAAAACCCAAACTATATAATTTGTTCAAAAAATAAAAGTAAGCCCAAGACTATATTCCATAAGTAACCACTGGTTTAATTTAAGTATAATTAGTAGATTTCCATATTCCATATTTTGATGATATATTTCTTTTAGAATATTCCATATTTGTAGGAAAAAATATGTGTTTTTGGTATACACATAGATATCTGCCGTATTTTGAAGGTAGTTTACATTAAGGTCGTCTATTTACATTAATTGTGTTGGTTTAATTTAAGTAATACGGTTCAATTATTTACGTAATCCCATCTTCACACTTCACTTAATTTAAATAATTGAAATGTATTACTTAAATTAAACCAACCCAATTAATGTAAAGAGACGACTTTAATCTAAACTACCTTCAAAATACGGCAGATATCTATATGTATACCGAAAACACATATTTTCTCCTACAAATATGGAATGTTCTAAAAGAATATATACAATCAAAATATGGAATATGGAAATCTACTAATTATACTTAAATTAAACCAATGATTATTTATGCAATATATTCTAGGGCTTACTTTTATTTTTTGAACAAATTATATAGTTTGGTTTTTGGTCTTAGTATTAAGAAAAAAACTCCAAAACATTGAATAAACTTTTCACCTTAAAAAATTAAAAAATCAATTATTATTTTCAGACCCAAAAGGTATTTAATATTTTTAACAAAAAAAATTATCTATTATTAATCATTTATTTAAATCATGTACTTTAAAACATGTTAATATTTTTTTTATTTTAAATAACAATCACATTGTTTTGATAAATTTCAATTGTAACTTTTAAATAATTTATTGTTTTATTTTTCTTAAATAATTTACTGATTAAAAAAATGTAAAGCAAAACCAAAAACCAAATCTAAAAACTAAAATCCAAAACCAAAAGCTGGAAACACATGTTATATTTTTTTTGCTTTGTTTATTTACAAAAAAAAACTATTTCAAATTTTTTTTAAAAAAAAATTGTTATCATCTTTTCAGTTTTAAATTAGATATTCGATTATTTGAGATTTGTTTGTTGGTAATATTAGTTCAAACCTCAGCGGGTTTAAAAATTAAAAACCCAAACCAAAAACTGAAAATGAAAAAGTAGAAACTTAAAAACTAAAAACCAAAAATCAAAATCTAAAATAAAAACTGAAACTAAAAACTAATGAAAAACAATCATCACCACAAATTTTGGTGAACTGATTCTATATCAAAATATTCTTTAAATTAAGACAAAACCCAATTATATAAATTTTTAATCATAAAAATTTTTTTGCGCTTTCAAGCGCGGTTCAAAATCTAGATTGAGTCCAAATTTAAGTAATGCGGTTCAGTCTACTATATAACTTGTATTATTTGTAAAACTCTAGAAAGAGTCCAAATTTAAATGACAACTTGTATCAGTAGATAAAAAGAATAACTCTATTTTAATAGAATAGACTAGATTTTGACCCGCGCTTTAAAAGCGCGGGTTTAGTTTACCTTTTTGATAAAATTTATTTGAATTGACAAATTTTATTTTAACACAAAAAAATAAAATTTGTTCTACTAATATTAAAATGTTCTACTATATTGTTTTATTTTCACGTATTGTATGTTTTCATATCTGATGGAGACTCATAGTTAAACTGATATATCCGACAATCTTTTGTATAATCCGGTTAATATTATATGAAATTTTATTAATTAAAATTTGATAAAACTGATAAATATCCAAAAATCCTCTATTAATCCGCAATATAATATCCGTAGATCCCAAATATACTTATAACATTTTTAAAATAATTAGTTAAATAACACATAGTTTTAATATTAAATAAAATTGATTTTTTTTTTGTAATTTCTTAGACTTTAATGAAATTTTTTCATTTGAAAATATGAAACAATGGTAATAGAAAAAAATATTCATATAACAATATTATTTTCTTTTTGTTATTAATAACCTATGATAATTTATATTTTCAATTATTTTATATCTAAAATCAATTTATAAAAAAATTGAATGGGCATATCAGTTATGACATAATAAATAATATTTTTAATTTTTTATCCCTAAATGATATTATGCACGAAAATAGGATATTAAAATTAAAATAAAATAGAAATTACATAAAAATAAAATTATTATTAAGCACAAAATCAGGGAATTATTAGTTACCTTAAATATAGGAAATATTTAGTTTTTTAGTTTAAATAAATATTAATTATATTAAATTAAATGCTAATGGCATATCTTTGTAAATAACTCATAAAACTATGGGCAGAATCCTATGAGGGATTCTGCTTTAATAGTATAGACTAGATTTTGACCCGCGCTTTGAAAGCGCGGGATACATTTCTGGTGAAAACATTATATGGTCGGATCTTTTTATTTGAAGTATGTTTGAGTATAAAATATAAACCCGAAGTCCAAACCCAACCCAAACTACAAAAAACATATTCATACCCGGTCTTAATGTAAAAAAGTCTTGTATAGCGGTAATGGTATAAAACATATCAAAACCCGAAGTATTATTAGTCAATCTAAACCGATAATCCAAAAATATTTGAAAAGTTTTGAAAACCGATTTGAATGTTCAAATTAATCAAAAATATATATTTTGAAACATAAATATATAATTTGAATATTCAATTNTATTTCCAAACCTCAATTCGTATTTACAAATTTATCACAATGAGACTTAAGATTTGATATAAATTAGAACTAAAATTCAAAATACCCAACCCGTATCCTAGCGGAT